AAAGGGTCAAGGCGCGAGAATTCCGAATCGGCGATCTGGTCCTCAGAAGGGTAACGGCCAATACCCGTGACCCAACAGAAGGAAAAATGGGACCTAACTGGGAAGGGCCTTACAAAGTGATATCTATCGGAGGCGCTAGGTCATATAGATTAGAAGATATGGATGAAAAACTTGTAATGCGACCGTGGAATGTGATGAATCTAAAGAAATATTATTTTTGAGTATTATCTCCCTCAGTGCTCGCCAACGACAAAGATAAAGGGCAAGGCCCTGGGGACAGAGTTCAAGGACTCCTGCCCCCGAAACAAACACAGGAGCAAGCCTCCTGGAAGGGCAAGGCCCTGGGGACAGAGTTCAAGGACTCCTGCCCCCGAAACAAACACAGAGCAAGCCTCCTGGAAGGGCAAGGCCCTGGGACAGAGTTCAAGGACTCCTGCCCCGAAGCAAACACAGGAGCAAGCCTCCTGGAAGGGCAAGGCCTTGGGGACAGAGTTCAAGGACTCTTGCCCCCGAAACAAACACAAGAGCAAGCCTCTTGAATGGGCAAGGCCCTGAAGACAGTTCAAGGACTCCTACGCAAAAAAAAAAAGAAAAAGTGTACGCAAGAAAGAATAAGTACTCCAAAAAAAAGCTTTATTTAAAAAAAAAGGGGTTTTGCGTCCCCAAGAGCTACAAAAGAAAAAGTACAATCGAAAAGAAAAAGCTTTCATCTGGCCCCGGGTATCTCCAAAACATCGCCCGAGGGAGAATCGGCGTAGAAAGGTTGAGCAGCTTCGGGAGCAGGCAGAGTGGGAGGTACTTCGGCAACAGAGAGAGCCTGAGGAATATTATGGTCAGGGGCCTGGTCCGGCAGGGCATCATCAGACAAATCCACAATTACCGCCTCGGGCAGATCCGCCGAAACTTGCACCGGCGTTGGAATCGCACCCTCGGCAGCAATCTCGGCTTCGGCCTGTTCCATCTCCGCCGAGGGCACGTATTTGTGCATCTGGAAGAGCGGGGAGTCTGACGGGATCCCAGCAGACTGGAGCGCCTCGTCCCACCCCTTCTTGAAGAACTCCTTGCTATTTTCTTCAAGAGCGGGGAGCACGTCATCGGCGAACTCTTCTCGGAGTTGCTCCTCGGACTTCCTGTTCTGTGCCTCAGCCCTGATCCTGTCCAGCTCCTGGGTCAGAGCCAGACAGCTTTCCTCTGAACCAACAGCCCTCTCCTCTGCCGCAGAGAGCCGTTGCGTCTGCTCTGTAATCCTCCTCTCAGCGTCGACAAGGGCAGCACTTAGCTTTTCAGCGCCGACCTTCGCCAACTCGGCATCCTTGAGGAGTTGCTCGATTTGAGCAGCCTGCCCCGCGAGAGTGGAATCCCTGGCAGCTACGTCCTCCTTAGCACTGGCGAGGGCTCCCTCGGCTTCTTCCTTTTGCTCTCGAATCCGCTGAAGGTCCATCCTAGCCCCATGATATCGCGCCGCTATTATAGAAATCTGTTGGGTGGCCTGCAAAGGAAAGGGCATGTCACTAAAAAGAAAAGCGGCTAAAAAAAGACTGAAGCAAAGATGAACTTACCACCAGGAAATTCTGGATGATAGAGCGAAACAACACGTTCGTTGATCGCCCCCTGAGCCACCATGTCGGCCTCGAAATGCAGCGCCTCACTCACTGCATTGGCGACATGGGGGTCCTGCAAAATGGAGTCGTCGACCCTGATCACTCGGTTCATGTGATCAGTGGCTCGAGGATTCCACTCCGCGGCTTCCACTGTCGGCGAAAGGGGAGGAGTCTGTTGTTGCCGCTGTTGCTGTTGTTGCTGTTGTTGCTACTGTTGCTGAGGAGCAGGAGGTAACCCACGGCCTCTCCCACTTTGCTGCTGAGCGGAGGGTGCCCTGGATCCCCTGCCAAGGCCATCGTGCCTATGTTTGACCCTTCTCTCCTCCTCTACCTGAGGATCCCGGTCACGCACTTGCCCCCGACTGACGACTCTTGAGGATGGGGTGGCACTGGTCCCTGCAGATGGGGCCCCACCGGCCGATCCTCGTCCCCTCCCGGCAGCGAGGGCTTTCCTCTGCCTCAGGAATCCTAGATCAATACGGGGCGTGCTGGACATAGCTACCTCGAGGGCGTCCTCGGCGTCTAGAGATTGTAGGATTTGGAAGTCCGGCCACGAATCTCTCCCCGAAGTCCCCACCTCGGCGTGCGAAGGAACCAAGTCCTCTTTGACCCCGAGCTCTTCAACTTCACCCTCTACTTCTGCCTCCGAAGCCCGGTCAGGGTCTTCTTCCAAGTTCTCCTCGACCTCTTGCCTCACCGCCTGATCGAAAAGTTCAGACCACCGCGAAGGCTCGAAAGGCTGGGGAAGTTGTGAAAACTTTTTATATCCAGGAGTGTAATTCAGGAGGATGTGGGCAGCCCGGCCGAACCTGTCGTCACCAGTAAATCTCTAAACTGTGACTAGGTCGGCAAAGTTCACCAACGACCGAGGGGGAGGAGCTGTTTCCCGAGCAGGGACATCTGCACAAACAAAAAAGAAGGGAGTCATGAACATAGAAAATCTCAAGAACAAAATAATAGACCCGAAGGAACCGATGTACTTGTCGTTCTCCATTCCAAAGGGCATAACAAGCCGTTATACTCGGGACCGACACCTTTCTGCCAAGATCCCTTGAAGATAAGTAGGTCGTCCTTGTACCCCTTGTCCGAGTCGGGAAGATGAGTTACGAGGTACATAGATGGATCCCTGGCTTTGAGGTAGAAGTGTTGTTGAGGCATGACTCTCAAGAGGGAATAGCAAAAAAGGAGATCGTTCAGCCCAACATTTACCCCGAGACGCCTATTAAGCTCTAGGACCCCCATAATTATCCTGAAGACATTAAGGCAACATTGCCCGGGGAAGAGGTGGAAATGGGAAAGGAACTGGAGAAGTAGAGGGGGAAAAGGGAACCTAATTCCGCCCTCTATGATGGCTTTGGTATAAAAGGGCATTGCATCCTCGGCCCCGAAGGTACGAGAGTGCACAGCTGGGTTATAATCCTCTATGTCTACGTACGGGGGATGTTGTACTTGACCCTAAACCTATTAATTTGCTCACCACCCTTTACTTTATACTTCCCTGACCCCGAAGAACTGGCCTGAGGATTCTCGGGGGCAGGGCGACGACGAGGCATCTCGAAGAAAGTGAGAAAAAGTGAAGGAGGGTGTTTTTTACCTCAAAGATCCCCAAGGAAGCTTCCGAGGATTGGTCGCTAAGTGGCAACCGCAGACACCTCCAGTTATCGGAAAACCAAAAGGGACAGAAGGACGAAGAGAGGAAAGATACTGGGACTCACCAGAATGTAAAACGGAGTTTTTTCTGGAAAACTTGAGGCGACTCCTTCCAGAATGTTCAGAAGCAACGATGGGTCTGCTGGCCTTAAGACTTTAGGGAAAAGGTTGGGCAGTTGACAATGGAAGGAAAGAGATCTCCAGCGAAGATTCAGGCAAGGGCTCTCTCGAGAAAGTTCGGAATGACGAAATGAGAAAATGGGAGAGGAAGCCCATTTATATAGTACCAATCTCATCATTGGGCGCGAAGCACGAAAAGGCGCATTTAATGCGCACGACGTCCTAAATAGGGGAAAACGGCTAAACGCAATGATGAAGCAGTTGGGGTTGTTGTAAAACCCTTCGTCTCCTTACGACGCGTGTCCTCGGCGTCAGAAGATCGAAGGCTGGAGGGCAGTTGATGGGACATTTCCGAAATACTCCAAGATGAAGACAAATGTCCTCGGTGTCACTAAATCCTGTTACTGAGATCACGTACCATCGGCTCACAAAGTCCCTCTCCCCCGAGGTACTTTGTCATAGGGATCAAGTGGCATCCAGTACGTTTACGAACCGACACGTATCCCTCGGTCTGATATGGGTACATCGGTCGCTATATACACCTCCCCTCGGCTCCGAGATGATCTCCGTCCAAGATGGTCGTTCTCTGCTCCTACAGAGGCTATTGATGTACAGGTCACTAGCCTAGGCTAGGCTAGGTTAGCTATCATGACCTCGTCTTACACAATTGGTGTCAGAAGGCACAGGAAGGCAGGGGCCACAGCCAATGGGGAATGGACGCGTGGCATATTGTGTCACATCAGAGACAGAAAGACCGCATGCCCTTGCTGACACACGACTTGGGAAAGCAAGCATTTAATTACACCATTCCCTTGATGAGACTGCATTCAATGCGGTAAGGCTCGGAAGTGAAAGGCAATAAATGTCTCTAAGGCTGGAAATTTATTGCATCCTCCCCGAGAGGAGCTCATTGAACAGTCGGCAGCCCGATGACACAGCATTGATTGCTCGGGATCCCGAGCAGTTAAAAGAGAAGACATTCCTCATCAGAATCAGTGCGCACACTGCCTGTACCTAATGATCACCTACTGACTACACTGACACTAATCATGAGTTTTTGAGGTATAAATACTCCTCGCAAAAGGCAAGACGGAAAAAAACAAAAAACCTTTGCTACAATACATATTCAGTGTTTTCTTCTTCCTCTCTCTCAAAAGACTGACTTGATCGTCGGAGGGGATACGCCAGAAAACACTCTGGCTCCCTTCTAACTTGTTCTTCTTTGTTCCAGGAACCTTCTTCAGCCTTACTGGATCGTTCCATTGATCCACGAGGGTCTCCCATTACCGTTCCAGGTTACCACCGGACCTCACAGGCTGTTCCAAGCTGCGGGGTTGACCACTCGACTGACTCACTCGAGTTCACCAAGGGAGAGATCTGTTCTCGTGTTTATATTGTGCAAGATCTAGCACGCACACTAATCATATTGTATTGGTTCATATCTATCACATATATAAAAAATAAAGTGAGTAGGAATGCGTAGCAAATTGAAGTAAAGCAGGTATATTTGATTAGTGGCAGAGAGGTAAAAATTGAGCCAAGACCGCAAACCCCAAATGCAAAAGTATTCAGGAGCTTATAGACTAAACTGCTGTATATGTATGTGGCGCCAATATAGTACTAGTGCAACTAAAGCAGCAAGAGGGCTTCCTGAATCAGATTCTCCGTGAGAGCTTTAGGAAGTCCCATAACACTATCAGCAGTTCCTACCTGCAGAAGAATGGCAAGGTCTGCTTATATTAGAACGAATAGAGTGACTCGTGATGGATAATATCAATATATACTGCATATTGTAAGTAATAGGCCAAATGCCGTGGCTAATTTTTTTCGGCCACGGCATTGATGGGAAGACCAAGATTAGTACTAGTAAGGATCTTGATAACTTCTGCGGGAGCATGAAAAGAGCATATATTATATCCCATGATCTGGGCGGCACAACTCAAGAGCTCAAGGATAACCCTTTTGACAGAATAGCTCATCCATGCATCATATATGTGATACCTCAAACCTGTCCCTCTATAGAGAGAGAGAGCTAACCACAGTGTCAATGAAGGGCAATGTCAGCGGATGTTCAAGCATCAAACCCCCAGCGACATTGAGCATAATTTCCTCCTCAACCTGAGGACAAATCACCATGAGCAAAGAGGCACATAAAGAATTATTAGAGATTATGGTGATGTTCTTGCATCTATTACCAGGCTATCAATGACCTCATCTGGAATATCGTGGAAATAGACCTGCACCACAGGAAAACCTGTAATTTACCCTCTCAATTCAAATATATAACCATTATGTCTAAAAAATCTAACAGGAAACAATGGTCCCTGAATATCACACATGGGTAAACATTGGAGTAGCAGGTTTTATTTATTACCTTTTTTTTTCATTTTTTCCTTTTGGGGTGGGGGGGGGGGCATAAGAGTGCAACTAAGATGTCAAATTAGTATTGTTGGATCTTGGCAAATATGAAGACAGAGTGTTACACGGCCATGGCAAATTAACAAAAGCTATGCCCTCAGAAAAATCAAATGCACTATATGTATTTCTTCTAGCGAAATAATGATCCATGTCCCTTTGTCCTTTTGCCAGAAGAAACTGAGAAAAGTGCAAAAATGGGATTAATCACATTGTGATCTAGTTCATCAGACCAATGAAGTTGTCCATCACTTATAGCAACTACCCTATAGATAGATGCAACATACTCTTATAGTTCTAACCATACATGCATTGCAAGAAATTCAAAGGAATTGGATCAGCAATCCCATGCCCAGTGAGTTGAATGGAGTCAAAATTAAATGACCTTCAACTAAGACCAAAGGAGGGAAAAGACTTTTAACATCTTAATTCTAAGCCAATAATGTTTTGATACACCCTCAACCTCACATGGGCTCAAATTTTTTCATTATTACTCAGATGAGTGCAGATAAGACAGCAATGTGAAATATAATACCTCTGCCTTGTCCCATCCTCCTTTTCTGCCACCCGTTGTAAGGTTGCTCACTATTACAGATCCCACAACTGAGACATGACCACCAGAATAGCCTACAATACAAATACAATCCCTAAACCAGCAATTCATGCAATGGAATGAGTTAACAGGAAAGCTTATTAAGACAACCTTTGATAAACTGGCGTGCTTCTTCCTTGCTGGATGGTTTTTCTCTGATTGTCCCATCATAATCCACTACCTCAAAACCATTTAGATGTAGTTAAGATATAACCTGACACAATCTATTTACCAAACAAGAAAAAAACCTAACAGTTACTATCTCTGTGGTGTTTGCTTCAACTCTAATTGTGATATTAGGACACAGTTAAACCAGGAGACAATGATATATGAGGAGTAAGGCCGCTGACAGACAAACACCCAGCAAGTTGATATGAGGTGTCTATGAATTCACTGCTAAGAGGGATACTTGTACCATGTTTGCTTGAAATCATTTGCCCTGAAGCTTTCATCTCATGTTGAAAGACAACCCCACAGATGCAACCAAAAAGTTTTGAAGGGAAAGCAATTAATGAAGTGATGGTAGCCATAAACTCCAAGTTTATTTCCTTTTCTGGAGATTTTCCATCACAATCTATCATTTCCATGGAGGGTTTTCCGTTTGCGTGTAGCATCATCTGATTGATCAAACACACATGAACAACGACATCTACTGGGCAGAAACCATGAATCCCTGGATAAGGCTAAGTGCACAATTGCATTGTAAAACACAATAGAACGTCTTTTATATTTATTCTGAATAGACACATATTAAAAAATTATAAAGATTTGAATGGGCACCAGTCAAACCAGCACCTGCGCTCGTGGCTCGTCCATGCGTATGTGCAAAGTGCGCCTAAAGCGCTCTACGCATGTGCAACATGTGAGTATGCATTGAACTTAGCCACACTAGTCTACACGCGTCTTACTTTTTGTGCCAAGTAAATAAATACACATACAATGATTACATTCAAAAACCATTTAAATGACTTCTCCAGTTCTCCTCAACCAATGTGTGACAGTTTTTTCTCAAAAGAGACTAAACTTTTGAGGGAAGTTGAAGTAAGAAACAAGTTCCTTAACTGACTTCCCAAATAAGTGGGGGCTGCAAAATAAGAACTGTAAGTTACCTTTCGAAAAAGAAGACCTGTAAGTTGTTTACTAATTCAGAGTAACATGAATCTATTTCTAATGCTTATTCTTACTGAATTCATTCAAGTGTTGCTGGTGGCTTTGGGATTCTGAATAAAGTCATCTTATCTACAACGGTGCTTCTTTCACCTTGTTTCTTTTCCTCTTGATAGGGAAGGCAATGCTCTAGTTCAGTTGAAATGACTAAACTCACTGACGTGTACGAGTTTTCCTTAATCTTTTTACCATCAACCAGTATATCCAACATCAGTGAACAAAAAAATCGATATTATCCTAGTGCATCAATACAAATTTTTCCCAAAGAGTTTTGAGACAAATTATCAACTGGTATTTCTCAATGTATCATTGAAAAACTCTTTTGTAGTTCAAAGAATTAACATTTCATCATGAATCATGCCATATGCCCTGAACTCCACCCTTTACTTGCTCTTACAATCCTACTGCATGAGAGACATTAGATATCGATGCTACATAAGTTCTCCATGTCCTGATTTTCTATAAAACTAGATAAACTTATGTTCAGAATAGGTAATAACAAAAGGAATAAATAAAGCATACTGTGTCTGCAGTAATTAAAAGTGTGGATTCAGCATTCTCCTCCATATGATCCATAATTTTGAGCCTTGATATGATGGCATCGGCCTAAAACATTGTTCCATTAACCACAATCAAAGTCACTGTCAGTTGCTATTCAGTGATGGAATCCAGATACAAAAAAAAAAAATTTGGCATAAAAATTGAAATAGTTTGCACAGTCCCAAAGAGTGCAACTAACCAAAACATAAATCATGGATAAGCATGTAGAACCGGTAGCAGGAGAGCCGACTTCAAATGCATAGATTTTTTCCATGGGTTCTGTTTAGCATATCGCGTATTTCTGTTCGTTCTATATGTTCAATAAATGGCAGAAAAATAACGGTGGAGTGTCTAAGCTTGAAAAGCAAGTAGAAATTACCACAACTTACAGCACCTTTACAAAAGAAAATTTACACACTTTTGGATACTTTAACAGATGGTTAATTTTTCTGAAAGCCAAAGCACTGGATTGTCGTATTAGTCATTACACAAATAAAGTGGCATAAGTAATTGTGTTGGTTAATATGAGCACAGAAGAAAGGCGGAGTAGTTGAGATCATAACCATGATAACTTTTCTGGCTCCAGTCTTGTAATGTCTTAAGTTCCATAATTTATTCATATTTTGCATGAACTTACACATGGGTGTTTGTGTGTGTGGGAGTGTCATCTGTTTCTGCATGTGTAAAATGGGTAGAATGTTGAACCAGAAAGAAGGGTAAGGCCAATAACAAAATATGTAAAGGCCTGAAAAAAGCAAAATCATATTGAAAAAATTGGGGCATTTAAAAAAAAAAACTGGCCTGCCATTCTTAATCCACTTAATCACAAACTTAGCATATGTCAACTTCCACAAAAGTTCAAGAGAATTGTGATACCTCCTTTAAGCCGAACAAAAAAAAAAAAACTACTAGATTCTGCTCATGAATAACCCAATACCAAAAAGCCTATAATGTGCAAAGAAGATATGATCCCATGATCTCTCAATACATCCCCAACTCAGAATGTGCATAAATTCAAGTAAGCAACTGTTGAAATTGATTTTAATAGACCTTGAGGGGTTTCAAGTGCAAATAATAGTATCTTTTCTGGGTAATGAAGGATCACCTTACGAATGAAGCAGAAGTACTGAAAGGAAAATGGCTCCAAAAGTTCGATAACGGAAGGTCAACAGAAAAAGTTTCAATGCTTTTACAGTTTTACATAATGTCCTAGTAAAGAAAACTGTTAATCCCACCTAAATGAACCATAACTTGAGCAGAAGTGGATATTTTTTCAACCATCTTCACTTGAAGGCTTGAATATATTAAAAAGTATACTAAGGAAAAAAAAAGTTGAAATGAGTAAGAATAAATTAGGTAGTTTTCTCGTAATAAAGAAACTATTGTACAGAGTCAGATGAATTTTCAATGGTGTAATACATATTTCCTTCAACACTGCTATGCTGACCAAGATTTCTTACAAAATTTTCTATCCAAAGTGATGTGGTCCAGTTTCCTATGAAACAAGTGGATCCCATTAATATTCAATGATGGAGATTGTGCTGCATCACTTGGGATGGAAAACTTAGTAAAAAACTTGGTAAGCATTCCTTTGTGCTCTGTTCCTCGCCTAATCTCTTAAAATTATTGATAGTGAGGGAAGGGTCTCATAAGCATCTGGGTTAATTAATGAAAAAACCATTCAAAGGATAACTCAGAGCATACAACAAATTAATAATGGATTAAAAGAAGGCATAAAGCATACCTTTGCCTCCGCTAGAGCCATTACTAGTTCCTCCGCCTTTTCCTTCCTAATACTTTTCTCGTCAATGTCTGCAGTCTAAACCACAATCAAGATTAAATAATTTTCTAAAGTCTCCACAACAAGCGTTAAATGTCTTTTTAACGTTCACATTTATATATTTCGATGAGAACATACCAAGATTGTGAACTCATATCCCATCTCGGCAAGAATTTGACGACGAGCCATCGATGACGAACCCAAGATTATCTTTCATGAAGCATCACAACACAACATCCAAAACCACACAAACATATAAATTACGCAAATAGTTCGAATGTTTCAGCTAAAAATACAGAACTTAATGTAAACACGAGTAATGAACGAATGTCTCAAGATAAAATTCAAAATGTACACGATTAGTGTGAGCCAAACCTTAAATGATGAGTTCTTCGTACTCATCTCTCTCTCTCTCTCTCTCTCTCTCTCTCTGAGGCGGTTAGGTTGGGTGAGAAAGTAGAGCGAGAACTGAGCAGCACTGTAGTAGTGTCCGCGGTCCGTTTTTGTAATCCGTTCAACTCCTGAGCGCCCAGAGCAGTGACCATTTGGCGGTAAGCTGTGGTCACAATTTTTTCCCAAATTCCACTTTTCTCCCTCTTTTTGCTTTTGCTATTGTTTTTTTGGGGCTTGGACATATATGGCACCAAAATGAGATTATTTATGGGTTAATAGCACTTTAGTCCTTAAGTTAAAATATGTTCATTTTATCGGTTGTTTTTTATTGTATTAATTTTATTAATTTAGTCCCTAAAATTTTAATTCGTACCACTTTGATTCTAAATGATACAATACGCTAAGTTTTTTGACAAAAAATGATTGCGTGTCATTCTTTCAGACGGAATCACATGCCCAACATATAATCGTTTCATTCAAAATTTAACGGTCTGTCTATATAAATATCATGTAAATACAAATTAAATATTTTATAGATCAAATTAATATTTTAAGAATTAAACTGACAAAACATATATAATTTAAAAACCCGAAGTGTTACTAGCCTTTTATTCAACGAGTTTAAGTCATATAAATTATATTGTGTTAAAATTTCTTTAATTTAGACATTAAATTATTTATTTAAAGGGTTTAACAAATCAATTTAATTATGGCCCAAATATGTTAAAGATAAACTCAAATCATGTTAGTTTCGTACCAATTTGACGGATAATGTCATAAATTATTAAAAGTTAGGGAGAATTACACTCAGACCCTTTGAGGTTTGTCATTTAATCACTCATATCCCTTATATTTGAAATATTACACACAGACCTTCTGAAGTTTGTACTCGCGTAATACTTAGACCCCTTTTGTAAATATATCCATTAATAAATTATACTTAGACTTCCCTAAAATTTGTGGCTATATAATACTTAGACCCTTTAAGTTTAAAATATTATACTTAGACCAAAAATACTTCAATCAAATATAAAATATAAAATATAAAATTTTTTAAATTTTTAAATCAAAATTCATGTTTTATTGTATCATTTATTGAAATAAAATCAAAAATAAAAAATCAAATTCAAATTTTTCTTAAAAAATTGTAATTGATATACAATTATATTTTATATTATAATTTAATTTAGTCGTTTAAACGACTAAATTAAAATACCAAACTACCCTAATTAAATTTAAAAGATATTGTATTCATTACAGTTTGATTTCTTGTTTAATATATACTATGTTTTTTTTAAAAAAAAAAAAAAAAAATTTTGATTTTATTTCAATAAATGACATAATAGAACAAGAATTTTGGATGTAAAATTTATATACTATTATGAATGACTTAGACACATTGTTTGATTTTTAGTTTCATTCCAATAGATAGTATAATTGTATATTAAATACGATTTTTTTAAGAAAAAATTAAATTTTTATTTTTAATTTTATTTTAATAAATGATACAATAGAACATGAATTTTGGTTGTAAAATTTAAAATATTTTATATTTTATATTTGATTGGAGTATTTTTAATTTAAGTATGATATTTTAAACTTAAAGGATCCAAGTATCATATATCCACTAACTTTAGGGGAGTCTAAATGTAATTTATTAACGGATATATTTACAACAGGAGTCTAAGTGTTACGCGCCTACAAATTTCAGTGAGTCTGTGTGTAATATTTTAAATGTTAAAGGGTTTGAGTGATTAAGTGACAAATTTCAAGAGATCTGAGTATTATTCTCCCTCAAAATTAATGATCAAATATCCAGGATTATATTTTTAAATGTTCAATGAAATAACAAGTTAAAATAATTTTTGTCCCTTAGTCGCTTTGCATGATGCTCCTCTCTAGCGGAGAAAATATTAAATGCAATAATGATATCACGTAATCGTTATCACCTGACTAACCTAACTTTTTTCCCAAGCCATGAAACTTATATTTCTTCATTATTTATTGTTTCTTGTCCAGCAAGTCGATTTTTATATCAGAACCCAATATAAATATAACCAGTGAGACCGCCGGTATCAATTGCTGTCATCTTCTACGCTGTTTAACTCCAAGGTAAGCTTGCTAGGGTTTTCACCATTACAATTCTCCTTAAAGATTATAGTCTTCTTTGTAATTCTTTTTTATGCTTGCTAGACTTTTCATCATTATTGTTCTGCTAAATTCTTTTTAGTTTTTGTACTTAATTGTCCCTTGAATTTCGTTGCATGGAGCTGTGGGGGATTTGTGTGTGCAAATTTCGGTCCTCCTGTTGGGAATTCAAAAGGTTTTTGCAAATACTCGTACACATGATTTGTAAAGTTCCTTTTTCGAATTTCATTTGTAGAAGAGAATAAGTTCAGAAGGATTGGAGGTTATAATATGAATGAGTGAGCCTTTTTGAACTGGTATCAACTCGTAATTTGTTATTGGTGAAATTACAAAATTTACGTCACTTTTTTTGAATATGTTTGTGGTATTATCGACATAAATTCATATGATGCTAACAATAAATTTCTCAATCTTCAAGTAACCGGTCAATCAATTATATTTAGGATCATCCGTAAATGACTTTTAGACTTTTTCGGGAATTAATTAATTGTGACTTGTAATATTTTGCATCGATGCATGGTGGTGATTTAGCATCGATGGAATGAACTGCTAATGATGATCCACACTATGGCTGTGGGGTTGCCGTGAGAAAACGAGGGTGTGGTTGTTAGATTTCTAAGAAACTAGCTAATTGGAGAATTTTTTTGCATCGATATGCATTGCCGTTCTACATATTCTTGCTCTGTGTTTGGATGGAAGTCCTTAATCCTTTGCATCAGAATGCATGAATTACATCTTAATCTGACAGATTAGTTTGTACCTCATTAAGTTATTGTTTTATAAATCTAAATATTGAACATTATTATGTTGCATTTAGAACACAATTCACAGCTTTTACGTGCTGTGGCCATTAGTCTTAGCCTTGAAAGGTGCATATAATTGATATCTGAGATGGAAAAGGGAAAAGGAGCACTGAATTTTTTAAATTGTCTCTCTCTAGTGACGCTATGATCATTACTTATGACCCTCCATTGAACCCATGCTTTCCAAATTTCAAAGTGAAGTTTTTGTATCATATCTTTTTGAGTTAGTAGTCCATGGAAATGGACAAAGCTAGTTTGTTTCTATGGGGCTGGACAAAGCTAGTCTATAGTAATGTAGCTAGTGGTATGTTACTCTTCTGCATTTGCATATTTTTTTTATTGTGAAGAAACTTAATATGAGGCTTATCGGCCAGGTTTTAGCAAGAATGGATGTCGAAAAAAACCTTACTGAATCTGCACCAACTCCAACTGCCACTTATTGTCGAAGGAATAAGTCTGATAATGGTAGCTTTGTCTCCAATTTGAGGGACCACCTTCATGAGTTCATCCACTCTCCTATGGAAGAACACAAGGCTTGCTTAAAAGCAAATTTTCAAAAGGTAAAGCATACGACCAACAGCTTCTGTTAGTCAGAGCAGAAGTAGTTGACCAAGTTACTTGTTTAATTTAGAAATTTATTCAGCTACAAATGAAGAAAATAATTACTATGGTGAACGTGGATACTTTTGTGACTGATGAGTTTGTTTTTGTTCCAAACAGATAATGGGAAAGTTCTCAGAAAGAACTACTGGCCCCAAAGAAGGTGAAAATTCTCTGCCCCTTGATACAACTGTGAAGAACTAGAAATTTAGTAAAAGTCCAATTCATGCATTTTTCAATTAAGTGAGAGTACAAATGAGTTTAGTTTGATTAGTTAACAGGCTTTCTTCTTCTTTATGATTTTGACAGACAATTGCAGTTTGTATGTTGAGCTCTCTGCAAGGTTATAGAAAGATTGGATGCTGAAAAAAGCCTTACTGAGTCTGCACCAACTCCAACTGTCACTTATTGTCAAAGGAATAAGTCTGATAATGATATCTTTGTCTCCAATTTGAGGCAACACCTTCAGGAGTTAATCCACTCTCCTATGGAAGAACACAAGGCTTGCTTGAAATCAACTTTTCAGAAGGTAAGCACATGACCAGCAGCTTCTGTTACTCGGTGCAAAAGTAGTTGACAAAATAACTTATCTAATTTATGAAGTTATTCAGCTACAAAATGAAGAAAATAATTATCATAGTGGATGTGGATACTTTTGTGACTGACGAGTTTTTTTGGTTCCAAACAGATTATGGGAAAGTTTTCAGAAAGAACTACTATCCCCACGGAAGGTGAAAAATCTCTGCCGCTTGAGACTACTTCGAAGAACTAGAAATTCAACATAACTACCACCCCTGCATTTTTCAAGTAGGAGAAAGTACAAATGACTCCAGTTTGATTAGTTAACGTGCTTTCATTTTCTTACGACATTTAACAGACAATTTCAGCTTGCAAGTGGAGCTATATGTTTAGCATACACAGGAGGATTTTTTGGGTTTTGCAAGCACAATATCAAGGTATTTGATAGACCATACATGGATCTATGATTTGATGAGTCTAATGCCAGTCAATTTGATTGCCGTGGTTTATTATTCAACCTAATTTCTATTGTCTGGACCATACGAGTTGTTTCCCTTGGTTAAAATATGCCAGATCAATGTGATGCCAAAACCTTTTCTGTATTGTCTCCGACAAACTGGCTTAAGAACTGGATCCCCGACCTCCTACATATGAAAGACTATTAGGGGTCCTCATGCAATAATTTATTCAGATTGAACTACTTGTGTTGTAACATATTCAGTTTTCATGAAAACTATGTCATACCAGTGTCGCAACATTTAAAAAAAAAAGTTAAACAGTAATTTTACTTCTGAAAGTATGTATTTTTTGTCATTTTAATTCTCAATATATAAATTTTGTCAATTTGGTCTTGAAAGTATTCAATTAATGTCATTTTGGTCCCCCACATAAACAGACCGTTAAATTTTTGACAGAATGATCATATGTTAGATACGTGATAGCGTCTAAAAAAAAAACGTGACCACTTTCATAAAAAAAATTTAACAGTTCGTCTATGGAAATAAAAATGACACAAATTGAATATTTTAGAGAACAAATTGATATATTAAAGATTAAATTGACAAAAAATATTTGAAAAAAAATAAAAATAGAAAAACAGGTCCCACCGAGATTTGAACTCGGGTTACTGGATTCAGAGTCCAATGTCCTAACCACTAGACCATGGGACCACTTGATCTTTGCCCAAACAAATAAAAATTATAATGTTAAGAAATAGAAGTCATTGGCCGCCTGAGTAAGCTTCCGCAGAGCGCTCAGTTAAATATAGCACAGACTATGAGAGTGCATGTGGGGGTGAAATGTGGCGAAAGCACTTTAGCAGCAGTGGCGGCGTGAGCTCAGCGCGCACGTTGAAGGAGAAGAAATGGGACGCGCTGGTGATCGGTGGTGGCCACAATGGCCTCACCGCCGCCGCATACCTAGCCCGCTCCGGCCTCTCCGTTGCCGTGCTTGAGCGACGCCACATCGTCGGCGGTGCCGCCGTCACCGAAGAACTCATTCCTGGCTTCAAGTTCTCGCGCTGTAGTTATCTCCAAAGCCTCCTTCGACCTTCAATCATCAAGCAAGTTCTCCTAATCGTTATAATCAATTCGTTTAACCTTCGTTTTCCGAGTTTGCAATTGATAGTTACGGCCCGTTTGTGTTGTTTTATTGGTTTTTGCGATGAGTAGAGAATTGGAGTTAGCGAGACATGGATTGAAGCTATTGAGGAGGAGTCCGTCATCGTTTACGCCTTGTCTTGATGGACGATATCTTCTATTAGGTCCTGATAAGGATCATAACTATTCTGAGATTTCAAAGTTCTCTAAACGTGACGCTGAAGCTTATCCGAGGTTCTGCTTCTTCTCTCTACTTATGTCAATAAATTCCTCTATACACGTGTCTGTAAGTGAGTGAGAGAGAGAGAGAGAGCGTGTGTAGTATGCATTTTTATTGTTTGCTTATAGAATGATGAAGTGAGTTAAGTTCTTTATTAAGATAGCAACTGTTCTTTAACCACGAATTCTCAAGCATGGCCGTGATTGCATTGTAGCATAAGTGTAAGAGAACTAGATATAAATCCCATATAGCAGTAGCAAAGAAAGTCTCACCGATTATATGAAACTTCAAATTAAGTCCCAGTACAGGTGGATTTTTGACCTCGATTTTAGATACCATGACTGTTCATTGCAAGCATTTAACCTGAAGGCAGATTGTAAACACTTTTAATTTCAGTTGCTGCATACGTCTAATTTGTTATTGTGCGGGAGAGATCCGGTGTTTGTATCATTGGTAGTATTTGCATAATTGAAAGAGTGGTTTGATTTTCAATGTCTGATAATGATAACTTCTAGAGATAGTTTGAGAGCTTTAATTGTCATTTGAAATATGCCTTTGAAGCTGATAATATATGTGCCATAGTAGTAAAGAGTCATGTTTCCAGTAGAATGATTATGATAGCATGGGTCACAAACGTAAAGGGGAGTAACAGAAAATTAACTTTAACAGACAAATCAATAATGCAAAAATTTGCCTGAACTTCACTAATTTTGGATGGTAAATGTATTCTGTGTAGTATATATATTTGGCCTTCAGATTATAGCAAAACATTTCCTGTCCAGTGTCTACCAACTAGTTTTTAATGGATAAGGTAGACAGGAAAACTTTATTCAGTATATGCAATCGATATTCAGGCAGACTCTTTAGGCGAGAAAATAAAATTCTGGAGCATGTCAACAAACAGACACAATATTTTGTCATCACTATTTAAGTTCTCCAACCTTTATTTTTTCTGAAGATTGAATATTTCGTGCTTACTTATCCTTCTGGATGTTCTATGACATAGGTATGAGGAACAACTAGAGAACTTCTGCAAGTTCATGGATCCACTTTTGGATTCACCTACGCCGGAAACTCTGCAAGGTGCTTCATCTTTTAAAGCCCAAATGAAGAATAAATTAAACAAGTCAACTTTTTGGGCTCAGCGTCTGCGGCAAGCTGTCTCGTTGGGGCAAAAAGAGATGGTGTAAGACTTCTTTTTCTAATCCAAAGTTACTTCCATTTTATTCATCATGTTAGTTTTCTTCTTGTCAGTTGTCACTACCTATAGGAAACTATGTATCATAATATTGGTTTTATGTTGGTCCATATCAATTTAGATGTTTTATCTTTATAAATATAAAGTTTGTAATTTGTGTCTCACCTTTTGTTAAGGTGTATTGTTGATTTTTTCAGGGACTTTATGGACCTCTTACTGTCACCAGCATCGAAGATTTTGAATAACTGGTTTGAGGTTAGTGCATAATCTTGAGATGCTTTGGTTTGTTATCCTCTGATTGTCCCTTGACTTGCTGGATTCTATGTATTTTCCTCAAAACTATTTCATGAACATACAGAACAGGAAGATAGTTCACTTTTGTTCCTATTGATCAAGTTAATTTTGTCGTTTAAAATCTCTGTTTTAATGTTCCTCAAAAGGGTAAAAATTGAACAGGATGCCAGATCTTTGTTTCATTTAACCTCTGCTGTTTTCTTTTTTGGGTTGCATGATATTAAATCTTCCAACTCGTATGTTATGCTACATTTCAACATCATTAAGCATAAACTGTATGCCTCAAGTGATTTAGAACATTTTTGATATATTTTCTAAGTCATTGGCATCTCATTGTTTCTCAGTACTATATTTCATATCAATGTTGGTCTTATCCTTGTTCTTGTCATTTTTCAACTCCAGAAATATCAGTTCATCCTGTGCTCCAACTGGTCTTCGCTACCAATCTCAAGGGCCCTTCTGTTCTTCTAAAATTCAACGCAAATTTCAAGAGAGTTGTCCCAGGCTCCAATTGGTCATGGAGTCATTTGTTTCTTGTTTATTCCACCTTGTCTTGCCCCTTCTCTGTTAAGCTTCACTCATTACAAATACATCTCATTAACTTAATCCAACTTTTTACTGCAAGGGCAACTGGTTATAGCGGTCCTAGGACTTACAGTAGTGCATGACCATGCAACGTTTGGAAAGACTTTACTATATGAAATATTTCCTTTGGTTGATGACTTGACTTAATGAAGGTAGGAAGATGGTCCACACTTGCATTAGCTGTCTCTTTGCTTCAACATTAATTGAACTCTTACATACAGAAAAACTTTTATCTTTTGGAAGGTGACTTTCCAGACTTACACTCCATAAGTCACATGTTGCAAGCTTATCCGGGACTTGTATGTGCAAATCTGTTATCCATATTCTTATCTTAGAATTTACCCAAAGTGAACTAATATATAAATTCTCCAACAATTAAGCATCTAGCATTCTAGGAATTTTAGGAGATTCTGTTCTATCGTTAGTTGATCCATCAATATGGTTAGGAAGGTTCCTGTCTAGATTTCACTGGCCAGAAAATCTGGTTGTAAAATTTGAAATTTGATGATTAGATTTTTTAAAAGTGAACTGAATAACAAAGGAGATGAGATGCTTTTGGAGACGAAGTATGTCCCACAAAACTGTTTAGATAGTTTTTTTCTGAAATGTTTTCAGTGCGAATGATTTTTGTAGAGCACTGCTGCAGGATACTGTGCACTATCCTTTGGCATCTTTGAATACTTAATGGACAAATCTATCATATTTTTTGTTTTTCTTCGTTTTTTGTTCTTCCTCGAACTGTTCAAGGAAAATTTGGGAGGAAAATAGACTAAAAAGCATCCGAGAAAACATATACAAATGCAGTGTTTTTGAGTTTGTACAGATTACATCTGGGAGAATATAATCCTTTATAATGATTGCAATGTTGAAATATTTTTTGTATTTGTTGGATCTCCATGCCACACCTTGTACAGAACTCAACTGATGGGATCAAAAGGAATGTTTTCTCAATATGACTTTACTAAATCTTTTGGAATAATGTAGGCAATTTGTTATCTGTTGATAACTCTAACGTTGGTTACAGTGAATATGACACCTTCCTTTTTCTCCTTTGGTGAATCTGAACTGGTGTGTTTTGCAACCACTTGCAATGAAAGTTTTTAAATTTCCACTGGCTGGTTGGCATGTTTCCTATTTTTGTGGTTTATACATATTAATCATTGTGTTTGATTGCTTACTTATGTTCGATAAATACATCGCTTAGTTCTCAAGATGATTGAATTTTTTTGTTTTGATCTTGTCTGATTGCATCTTTAGAGAGTTTATCTTGCACAGAAGCTTATGTATCATTGACTTATGGATTTTCTGACTCTGAATTGGAACTTATAGTCTGAGATTTTGAAGGCGACACTTGGAACGGATGCAGTTATAGGCACCATGGTGAGATTTCTTTCTAATAATCTGGAAATACACTAATACCTGTTGTGTGGGTGAACGTGCATTTACGTATTGTGAGCAAATGGTAATTTTGTTTTCATTGAATGATCATGTTTTCATATTTTATCTACAAGAGATGCAGTGCTTGATTGAATGAGGTTTACTAGTACTATATTGCTGATTTGAAATTCTTTCTCTACCTGATATTATGCGGATCAAATTACTTTAGATAAAATAATTGACAGGTTACACTAATACATAAGGATTAGTAAGCTGGTTTTTTTGTACTGTAGGCAAGTGTCCATGCACCGGGGAGTGGATATGTTCTCCTACATCACGTGATGGGAGAAACTGATGGTGACCGTGGAATTTGGTCGTACGTATTTTTGACTTTTGCAATTGCACATCACCTAACTAGCTGGCTGTTAGATGCCTGTTTTCTCATGGACGTCTTTGGGATTTTTTCAATAATTGGATTCTTTTCTGCATTTAACATATATGCTTTACCCTTGTGTTCGAATATTAAAATTGACATATTATCCAGTGGTTCATAAGTAATGCATGAGGGTAGCACATAGTGTTGCTGCTTATGTGTAGTGTCACTTGATAGATTTTTTGATGATGATGTAGTGCAGGATATGCTCTTTGCAATTGACTTTCAAATCTGGCTTAGGCTTACATGTAGTTTTGAAAATTAATGTATCCTGTAGGCATGTTGAAGGTGGGATGGGGTCAGTATCATTGGCTATTAGTAATGCTGCTATAGAAGCCGGAGCTACTGTTTTGACCAATGCTGAGGTATGTTTGTCTACGATCGTTTTTTAGGCTTCATAATTCATATCTCAACTTGAAAGAGTTCTGATATCTGGAGTATTGCTTCATGTTCTTCTTTCATTTAGTTCCATTAATTTGAAATTGTTGGCTTCTCATGCAACCATACTCGTAATGAATTGAAATTGGACCGGATAAAGGGCAATTACAAGGTTTGTCATTTGTTCATATTCTGGCATGGTTTAAAATGGTCAATGATCAACTTTTCCCTTACTGATTTCTTTAAATTCATTCAGCTGCTTGCCATTGTTGATTGGAAATTACCTCTGGTTACCCTATGTGAGTCTTCTGTTCTGCTGTTCAGGTTTCAAAGCTAATGATCGAGGATTCTGGCACAGTAAATGGGGTTAGTTTTTCTACACGGCTTCCGTCAGTGATGTGCGTATTGAGGCTTGGGTCAGACTAATTGAGAAATTGGGAACATGGATGGAATTATTTAGGTTTTGCTGGCTGATGGAACAGAAGTTCATTCTTCAGTTGTTTTGTCTAATGCGACCCCGTACAAAACTTTCATGGTAATAAGTCAACCCTTGTGAAGTTGGTTGAAATAAGTTTATGCATGAATTATTAAAAAAATGAAATAGGAAAATGCAGATGAGTTAAGCCAACCAATTTGATGGTGTAATTGAAAATCTAATGCAATAATCATGGTTGATACTTGCTTGAAACAGGAGTTGGTGCCCGAAAATGTTCTTCCGGAAGATTTTGTTTGTGCTATTAAGTACTCTGATTACAGCTCTGTAAGTTCCCTAATCAAGTGGCCATGGATTGTGAGTACTGTTGGACAATGTACACAAGTGTGCCAGCTATTCCTGGTCTATAAATATGTCACAACATGATTTTTTTGGTATATTGGCTGCTAAAATGTACAGTTAATAGCTTGACTTTGTAGTATGCTATGGTGATGAAAAATCTTCATTGTGTTTATTATTGTTTTAGACAATGTTATAGTGAGAGATTTTATCTTGGTAGATTTAATTTTTTGAACCTCTTAGTTAAGCTAGATTTAGTTGTATACTGATGTGTAAATCTATTGGTTTGAAGGAAATAGAGCAATAGACAGAATGATAAGACAAGATGCAGGAAAAGAAATACAACAGGATGGACAGATGATCACAGCAGGGCATAAATAAAACTCTAATTCATCGTTAATTTTTGTTAACCTAGGAAAAATATTTGACACTTCCTTGAAAGTTTCTTATGAACTGCAGTTACAGTTATGACCAATGCAATAAAATATGTAGGTAGAAGTTCTCAAGTTCTCCAAGCTACAGGGCTGTCTGTCTATGTATGTGTGTGTGTGTGTGTGTGTGTGTGTGTATAACACATGCAGTTTTGCATTAAAGAGGATCTTGGTTAATGGTTCAGAAACTAATGTGATTTTACATTATTCTCTTCGTGCATATGGTAGCCTCCAATCTACTTGATTTTTAATATCCTGGGCTTAATTTTCCTTCCAGTTAATATAATTTCTGCGTCTTTCCTAAACTGTTTACAAAAAATTAGTTTCCCAAATTCCAGTCACCCTTTTCCAATCAAATTTCATCAGTGCTAAGTCTTCAAAAGGTTGTTGTAATTGACTTAACAAGTGAACTCATTACAGGTTTAACCCTTCATCAATGTTCTGACAATGAAATAGCATATAACAGTATGCTGGTGAGAGGTCCCATAGGCTTGCGCTTGACAAAAATGTTCCCCTTATTCTTTGCTCCTGTTGTGGTGTCTAAGTTTTAAGTTTACTAGTGATCAAAAAAAAAAAAAAAGTTCAAGTTTACTTGGATTGAACGAGTTATAAGTGGCTATTGCTTTCTGGTACAGGGGACTACTAAAATAAACTTAGCTGTTGACAGATTGCCCAAGTTTCAGTGTTGCAAGTTGAGTCATCCTGATGCCGGTCCTCAACACGTGGGTACCATTCACATTGGTTCTGAGAGGTAAGCCAATAGCTCGGTATGCATTTTCTGTCACATGTAGATGCATGTTTTCTCATCTTCTGCGTATGTCCTGGAACAGCTGGTCAAAGAGGAACTAATACTAAATAATTTGTTGATAAACATTTGTTGCATGAAACCAAGTCCAGATCCATTGGAAGGAGACCATAGCATTAATTTGACATGTGGCAAAATAATTTCGACTGATTCTCCTCTCCTCGCTGTTGGTTAAAGTAGAGAGAAGAGCATTATAGAAATGTTCATGTAGAGAGAATTGGCTGATGATGATATTTCTATTCAAGTAAACCATAAAAATATGAAATGTTACTAAAAAAAGGTCAAAATGGTGTCACACTTGATATGCTTTGCTTCACTATACCAGGCCCCTCTGCTATACATCGGCGTGTAAGATTAGATTCATTTGTTATTAATGAAACTTGCAGAGGGAGTTTGTTGTTGTGTGGATATACCGATCAAAGTTATGTGAAGTGTCACTAGTGGCACAAAATAGGTCGAAGAGGCAGAGAGAAAATTTTGTTGCCAACCAAAGAACTGTTGGGATAATGCTGCTAATGGTGGTGTGGCAGTCATAGTATTTTGATTGGTAGAGCTCTTTGCTCACATTTTTTATTTTGCTGCCCCTATTTGTTGGGATCTTACTTGATTTAAATCCACTAACAAACACACACAATCGAAGAACAAATCAAAAATATAAAGCAATAAGAAACAAGAAAGAACAAGACACAGATTTTACGTGGTTCGGCAATTTGCCTACGTCCACGAAGCTACAGGGATTTCACTATTGAGAGAGTTGAATTACAGAGAGCGACTGTACAATCCACAACAAACCCTAATCACCAAAACAACAGGGTTTATATGTCCTACGCACTGGGCTGTATAACGGGCCCAAAAAATTTTCCTCGGACACAAGGCTTGTCCATGAGCGCTACGGCTTGGGCCCAAGCCTTCGCTCCATGGACTAAACCTCAGAAAATTTTTCATTAAAAACCACACAACATTACTTCGGGTCGGGTCATCATCCGAATCACAAATACAAACTAGACTCCATAAAAAAAAAAAAACCAACACTATTGTCAGTTTGTGTAAGCGGTTATAGTTAGTACCATTTAACTACTTGCGTAAGCAGTTATTGTTAGAACTGTTTAGAGGACATCCACAAGCAGAATGGTCAAAATTATTATACAATAAACTGTCTCTACTTTCATTGTTATAATTTCATGTGAATTCTATTGGATTTTTAACCTGCGAATGAAGATGAGTCCATTCCTTCTCATATATTTTTCTCTTCTCTCACTTAGTATGGAAGAGATTGACTCTGCCTGTCAAGATGCTATAAATGGATTACCATCGCGAAGACCTGTTATTGAGATGACAATTCCTTCTACCTTGGACAAGACTATTTCTCCACCAGGTACTTGATTTTTTTTCTCCTGATGCACATGATACATCTTTGATTTCACATTATTATCCTTTCTAAAGGTTTTTTTCCCGCCCCACTTTGTGGCATTACATATTGAATAAATAGGTGTAATAAAAGAATAGGAGGAGTTGTAGAACAATGTCTTGGAATTCAAAAGCAGGTCCAAAAAATAGATTATGGAAGTTGTACTGAAATCTCATCGAATTTAGTGTGCACGCTCTTCTTGGGAATTCGTGGTGGGTTTTCAGCACCACATACTTGATTGTGTTATGCTAGAGATATTTAGCTACTTGTTCTAGGCACAAATTAGAAGACATCAGAGCCAGTTTATGTGCTTTTACTTCCTTAAACATCGGAAAGCAGAATATTTTAGAGCATAAAGTTTTTCATTTCAGATCATGGGCAGACTCTGGACTACTTGTTTAGAATCAGCCCCCAATTGTAGTCGAAAATTAGATGGGACCTACGGGGAGCAGTTGTCCATTATATAATCATTTTTCCTTCTCCCTTTTATTAAAAAATTATGTACTTCCTATTTTACTGTCATATGGTCCATTGTTCTCCATCTCTGTGATCAAGCTATACCTTGTTAGTATCCACCATTATCTGGGAGTACTAATTGCAAAACCAGATAGATGTATTTGATTTGTTTTTTCTGCAGGTAAGCATGTAATCAATTTATTTATTCAGTACACACCTTATAAACCTTCCGAAGGCAGCTGGGAAGAACCTGCATATAGAGTGAGTGAGACTTTGGAAACTGTTTCTGTCAGTTCTGCAGAACTTTGGCAGTGTATGAAGCATTGATATTCTGTAGTTGCCTCTTTATCCATTTTGATTGGAGTGTCAAATTTTCATCTTGTTTTGGCTGTCTATATCTAGACCTAGAATAATTACATCTTAAAAAAAATATGTTGTACGCACACTTTATGATGGTGCCAATAGGATGCCTTCCTTCCAGTATAAAGTGATTGACCAATTAACATAGATTCGTTGCTGCAGGAATCATTTGCACAAAGATGTTTCCGCTTAATCGAGGAGTATTCCCCTGGTTTTAGCTCATCAATAATTGGCTACGACATGCTAACTCCGCCAGACCTTGAAAGGGAAATTGGTCTGACAGGCATGTTTACTATACTTTATCGGCTATTTATGATTCAGAAACATCGTTAGATTCTATATGGTCATCCTCTTGTTTTTGTTTTTTTTTTTTGGGGGGTGCTTCGTTGTCCTGGTTTGACCATCACGATCTTGCCATGTAAAGAAGTAATAATGTCAGTTATCAACCATCTGATCGGTGTCCAATCCTTCTATCATGACATAGCATGGCAATAGTTACTATGAAACCGCCCAAAAGAAAGCTAAATAACAAAGCTAAATAACAAGATTACAGCTATGTGCTGGAGTATTTCATTTTTTGGGTGAACTATATATCATAGTACTGTCTTTGTTGAAAGATATACATGTTTTTTAGGTTTTATTGAAGAAGGAAAATCATTTTCTTATCAAAAGCTCATTTTATGTCCTGTAAAGAAGCGCAGATTGATCTTCATGCTAGGAAATGTTCCTTCAAGTCATAAACATAGCCTAATGTGTGTACTTCAGAAATTTCCAAAATCAAGTTCATTTCTTGAAAAAAGTGGATCTGCTGTGAACTGAGTTATGTTTTGCTTTGAATATCCATGTCCGGAAGTTACCAGCCTCAGGCTGGATTTTCGACTTGTTGGACTAGTGATGCTGATTTTTAGGAACTATTCTATTCTCGGTTCCTCCTTTAATTTTCTGACTATTGTTGAATGATTATTTTGGCAGGAGGGAATATCTTTCATGGTGCTATGGGATTAGATAGTTTGTTCCTGATGCGACCTGTCAAAGGATGGTAATTTTTCCATACAACACATGAATGTCTTAAATAAATTTCAGCTATTTTCTATCTCATCGTCGTGGTGTCCTGTCATTACTGTGCAACGATTATTCATTCATTTTAGTATCTGAGAGCAGGTCCAATTACAAGACTCCACTGCGAGGATTGTATTTGTGTGGGAGTGGGACGCATCCCGGTGGTGGTGTAATGGGTGCACCAGGACGTAATGCTGCACATGTAGTTCTCCAAGACATGAAGGAGGAGCCATTGAACTGACATTCATGACTGATGAAAAACATTGTGCCCCAAGACTTGTGTCTTCGTTTCGATTTTCAATTTTCTAGCTCCTTTCTAATCGAATGTGTCCACATGCTTCGTCAAGTATCATGGTCTCACTCACATAGTATTTTGACATTAAATGGTATCAACATCATTTAATAAATCTGTCCTATTCGCTAATTTCTAGGTTTTGGTTAGAGCAACTTTAACTTAAATCTTTGTTTTAAAAAATCACTTTTACAAGTTCATTATAATCATGCTCTCTATTATAATTAACTATTTCAACTAACTTTCAAATAATTTGAAAGGAATTGTAACATAGCCGCACAGATTGTGGAGAAGCTTGAATAGCCATTTGGGTTAAATAGAGTGGGTAAAAGTTGCTCTTAGATGGAATGGCTCGGTCCTACAGCCTTGCACAGAGAGTTGGGTATGGGACTGACCACCTCAACTTCCCAAATAAAAGACGGGATATATTTTCATAAACGCCCCTTCAATTTTGTTATGAGGTTTAGTTTGATCCCTCAACTTCTAATTTTTTCAATTTCTTAAACTATGTACAAAACAACAATAATCAACCACTTAAACCAAAAGAATAAAAGCTTTCTTGCCTCTTACCGGAGAGAGGAAGGAGAGAGGAAGGAATTAGTCGAGGTGTTCCTGTTGAACAAAAAATAAATAAAAAGAATAAAAGCTTTAAAGAGTAAATTGAAACAAGCATGGTGTGTTTTTCTCGTATAATAGAGACCACGTTCGAAGTGAGAGTATCTGATGACCGAAGAACAGAGTGGCAGAGTACTCAGCCCAAAAAAACAAAAGGCAACCATTGACCAGAAGGATTTAACATCAGGTAGGTTTGATTCTTCAAAGACGTAAGCTTGCTGTTCACGGCTACTGAGGCATCAATACACCTACGAAAAATGATTTACATAAAAGAGAGAAAACACGATATTGCTTATTCGAAGCAAAAAAGTGAAAAAATTTATATAGAGGTGGTAAGAATACAAGTGATCTTACACAACTTTGAGCTCAAAAGTACCTCCAGGTGGACGTGGACTTCAATATATCCTTGGGCAGTAACCACAAGGGCAAACATACAACAACTATGACAATATGCAATGGTGATGGCTCAATTACACCGCATGCTACCTACTTCGCCAACCAGAAACGGACTTGTGAACAAGAGAGAGAGCGCTTGAGGCTGTTTCTAGCCTGTATCAGATAATTACATCCAATCAGTCAAAAAGACCAGCTCCACAACAACACACAGACACGGAAACTGACACCCTACAAATGCACAAGCAAAATCCCTCTCCCTTCCCCCCCCCCCCCAAAAAAAAATAAATAAATAAAAAAACCCAGACGTGCACAGAGAGAGAGAGAGAGAGAGCACTTGGAAATTTCTTCAACGGCCTTCATGACTTCTGAGGAGTTGGTTTCCAGTACTTGGCCCCCAAATATAATTTCATCCAAAATAGTATGCATCTGTAGGTTTTATCAAATGAAGCTCACTTCAGTTCAGCTCATCAACAGGTCGACTCAAGAAGACAAACAAATTTTTGTTCTAAAATCAAACAAAGCAATCAATTATGCACTATTTCAAGTAACGAAAAGGGATATATTTTCCCCATCTAAACAATGCATTTAGCTTGGAGAAACCCTCAGCATTCAACGGGCTGAAATCACCGTCCCAGAGATAGGTGTTCAAGCTCTTTACATTCCAAATAAATTCCATTCAAGGATAATTCCGGTTTACCTACCTAGTAACACGTCACAGAATCCTCTATTGATGAATAAACGTGAAACTGTTAGAATTTTGTCCAAATTACAGATAGTCACACGCTATGATAGAAATACTGTTGGCATGGAAGAGAATTATTTTCCTCCAATTTGATATTTTGATGCTCCGTTTGGTACGATGAAAAAGTAAAAGGATAAAAAATTGGAAGGATAAATAAAACATCGTGTTTGGTAAGGAAGGAAAGATGAAAAAGTGGATGAATTAACTTTCCTTCCAACTCACCAAAATCAATCCATCTAAAATTGGAAGGAAAGTAGCTGAAAAATTAAGGGCTTGTTTGGATTGCATCTCAAAAAACAGTATCCAAAAAATATTTTTAAGAAGAGTTTTAGAAAAGTATTTCGAAGTCGAAGAATTTGTTTAGTTAGATAATTTCAAAAATAATTTTACAAAATAGAAAACAGTAAATCATGTTTGGATTGATGATTTCATATAAAAATATTTTAATATATTAAACTTGATAAAATGTAAAAAAAAAAAAAAAAAAAAGACAAATATGAATCACTGTTACAAGACGAAGAAGACGAACCCAAAATCCAAGATCCAACATACAGCCTTTGGTATACGACAAAGAAGATGAACCCAGTTGTTGGAGAAGAACCTTTTCGCCGGAGAAGACCCAAATCTGAAAAAATAAAACTAAGATCTGAAAAAAAAAAAAAACTAGATTTGAAGTTTTCAGTTATCGAAGAACTCTCGGTCGATGAAGAAGATGAATTTCAGTCGACGAAGAAAATGAATTTCAATCGCCGGAGAAGACCAAGATCTAAAAAAATACCCAGATTTGAAGAAAAAAAAACCTAGATCTAAAGTTCTCAGTCGTCAAAGAGCCCTTTGTCGACAGAGAAGGTGATCTTCAGTTGTTGGAGAAGACTTTTTGCCGGAGACGGCGTTGGCACGCTGGTTGTGTGTGTGTCTGTGATCGTTCCGAAGAGAATCTGTGGAGAGAGAGAGAGAAAGACAAAGAGAGTGCTGAGATCTGAGAGGACAAAGACAAAAGAAAAAAAAAAGCTTTTATACTATGACTTATTTTTGCTTCTAAGAGAACTCGAAAAGGGAAACTCATTAAAGAGTAAACTATCCCCATGTTTTCAAAGTTTTGGCAAAAAAACTTAAAAACAAGTCCAACTTGTTTTCTAGTTTTATGCTCCAATTCTCTATTTTTTCTGAAAATTGGAGAACAAAATCACAAACCAAAAAGGTTTTGAAATTTTTTTGAAATTTGAGAATAAAAAACAATTTTCAAGAATCAAACCAAACATGGCCTAATAATTTGTGTTGAGATGTATCTTATTTGTCTATATATATATATATATATATATATATATATAAATTTATATAAAATAAAATTAAAAAATTTAAAAAATTAAAAAAATATATTTTTTTCATCTTAATTAAGGATGAAAATTTTTGACACAAAACGACGACACGACTCGAACTCGATACAAAAATAAACAGGTCAACTCGCAATTCGACACGACACAATTAGTTAAATGAGTTAAGTTAGATTTGACTAATATTCGACATAAACCCGTAATTACTCAACACGAATCTGACACGACACGACTCGATTGTCACCTCTAATCTTAGCTAGTACAAAAAAAAAATAGTCATTTTTATTTTCTATCCATCCAACTAAACACAAAGAAAGGAAAGTGTATCCTTTCAATTTTCCATCCTTGAATGATAGAAAGTATATCCCTCCTACTTTCTATCCTCCCTACCAAACGGAGCATGAATGACCAAATTTCCCGTCCTACATTTTTGAACCCAAGGTTCCATAGGGAAAGAGGAGAAACCAAGAAGAATATAACTCAATTGAAGAGGACAGCAACAATGATCAATTTTTTTTTTTCTTTTACCACTGGTGCTGGTTTTGAAACTCAGAGCATCAATCAGAGAGTACAGCGTTGAGGATGAAGAAAGAGAACAGACAGACTGCAATGAGGAAGAGGCAGAGGAGAGAAAGAGGTTCTGCAGAAACCACTTCTAGTGGTTCGGGATCTGCCATGGCAGAACCAATCAATCCCATCTCTCCCCGAAAGTCTGTTTATTTCTCTCCCCCAATCCATCTCATTGGTTTGAAACTCAGATTCAAATTCTCCGTCTCCCTAAAAAGGTTCTGGTATCTTCGTCTCTCCTCTCAAATAGTCCCTCTCATATCCGTCACTATCTAAATGTCCACATTGTACATGTTTCCCGACAAGAGAGAGAGAGGTATAATAGTAATTTTATCCTTCTATTAACAGAGTTGGTTTTTTTTTTTTTGTCCAAAAACACAAGAATTTTCCAAAATATGGGAAGTTGGTGCATTACTGAGCCAGTTCAAAAATATGTCCTAGTGGTCCAAACTACAATTACCCATTCATCTGACTGTTGAGAAATATTGGCATGGGAAAGATCAATTTCCGAGTTAATAAAAAATATGCACATGCTGATATAGCTGAAATAGTATAACTGGCAGTGTGATTAATTAGACGTGGAACTACTATACGAGCACGGAAAAAAACACAATGTAAATTAGATAGGAACAATACAGCACCTTGCTATAGTTGAACACTAAGTCAAGCTCGCATACATTTTTGAAGCATTTTTCCAACGTCTCCGCAAAAACTGAAGGGATGAGAGTGAGAATTTCAGTAAAGTAAGGAAATGTTATAACGGGAGTCATTCACCAAAATAAACATACAAATATACAATGAGAGTTAGTATACGTTCCATGATATGGTGTATTTTCCATGCTTAAAACTCCAGATGGTGAGACATGGTCCCACCAGTCAGTGAACCAGACTCTTTTAAGTCTTTATAAATGGTAATGAAACATATTGGTCACCAGAATAATAGAGCGACCACCATAGAACTATGTCACAACTCTTCCAACCGTATCAGGAAAATTTATCAGACATAACACAAGTATGAGTTTAGGCTGTCTAACCAACATATCCAGGTCATGCGTCTAGTAAGCTCTTCTGATTTCAACTTTTATGAACGCATAATTTTCTTAATAAGACATGGTTGCTTTAGAATGAGTGTAAGTGCCAGTTCTAAACAGTCAAAGGTCCATAAAATGTATTAGTTTGCTCTAGGAAACAAGCTGCTTAAAATAGTTGACTCTACTCATGTTCTTGCAAATAGTCGGATGGAATGAAGTAGTTAAACACAAGGGACTCGTAACTGAGTCCATATAATATAATATTTCCCCTAGATCACCAATCTTTACGCTATAACCATCAAAAGTGAAGTTAAAGCATCCATTCCAAGGGCAAAAACTCATAGCAATTGCAAGTTTTTGAAGAGAACTTGGAACAAAAAGTAAATGAAAATCCAATAGCCTTTGCAAGTTTTTCAACAACACTTGGTGTATTAATGTTTCCCACGTAGAGTTTTTGTTTCCACTAGCATGGTATTATTTCATATTCAATAAACAAATACCATGGAGGAATCCAGCTAATCTGATAAGGGTGCTGTACCTCCCTAATAGATGATCAATAGATCATAAATTTTGTTTGGTGAAAAGGCACCAGCCGAAGTTCACAATGAAAAACTGCTTTATATAATGGTCAATCTCAGGTTCACCAACACAAAATCATGAATACAAGAGTGTGCCACTCAATATGAATGTGATTTTATTTGTCCTCTCAGCTTCTATGTTTGCTCACTATTATTTTCCTTTAGATCTTATGCAAATTGGAATGTTTGCATCATTGCTTTCCTTATGTTTCAGAAAACATTTTAAGAATGCGATATATTCATGAATTATGCCAATGTCCAAATGGCCTATCCTACATGCAGAGGCACTATTTACTATCATAAAATGGACATCCGAAACCTTACAAAGGGGTGTGTCCATATATAACTATGAGGCATTGAATAATTTGGCGTGTACCTTGTATCAGATCTAGCATGGTCAGCTCATTTTCTGAACTGTCGAATAAAAAGACAAAGTATAAGGTCGCATAGTGCTTGTACACAAAACGAGTGTCCTGCAAGATGAAAAAACAGTATTCTACACTCTAGCTCAAAAGAGTAACAGATAAATGATAAATTGCAACTAGGACACGATCCAATCCGATAAACTAGCTCGTATTTGCAAATCATTGTCCAGTGCAAGAAGAAGAAAAAATAGAAGTCAAAACAGTTAAATAGAAAAAGTACCGGGCCAGAGATTGATTCAGCCTCGATGAAATTGCAGACGCTTTCAGGTCGGCTGCATAGCACTATCAGAATCCCAAACCAAAAATGACATCGATCAATCTAGAGAGACTTCCTACACTATATATATATATATAGACAGAGAGACTCGCGCGCGCGCACACACACACATATATATAGAGAGAGAGAGAGAGGGGAGATGTGAAATTTGAACAACCTGCATAGATTCTGCGCATAATTTCCTGCTGTTTCTCCACAGGCTAACCTCACAAAAGAAATCGAAATTACCACTAAATAACCGATTGAATTATCTAAAAATTCATGAATCCAACACAGAAAGTTTGAAGGAAAAAAAAAACGGAGAGAGAGAGAGAGACCTGGAAATCGTAGAATTTGGAAAACCGAGGCTTGCCCGTGGTGTTAATCACCATCACCGCCCTTATCATTTTGAGCTTCCCTCAGCGTCACTACCTTTGAACTCTCTTCATCAGTTAACATAGGCCATCCGAAGCTTTTTGGGCCCAACACAAGCCCAGTTCGTTTTCAATGGCAAATAGTTTTTAAATCCAATTATTAGGATTTATATGTTGTATGAGTTGAGAGATTGGTTCATATCCTGGGTTTTGTCTTTGGTTCAACTCAGAGTTACGATCCTAATCGACATAAGAGCACCTCTATTCGTTGAGGACCGATCATGAAATTTGCCCGTTTCCAAAAAGGATTGAGAATTTTTTTTGTAAAACATTTTATCTAAAATTCTTTGTAAGTTATTTTCCAATCTAATATTTGTAAGTAGATCCTTACTTAATGCTTCGAATTGAAGGAAAATGTATTAGAGGAGATAATTTGATCTACCACACCAACACTCAATTTTGGATATCAGAGAGACAGAGATTAGATTACAAAATCCCATTTTTAATAGTTAGTGCTCTTAAAAATAGAGAGATTAGATGAGTAGGAATGTACCCACCTATTAGTAAATAGATTAAATTACAACTAATTAATAGTAGACACCATCCTATATAACACATCTTCAATCCCAAAAACACAAACTCCACGGTTACATGTAGCTAGTAACTACAAGCATTATTTTGCAAAAAATTAAATAAAGAGAGGGCAACTTGAATCTTTGGATATGCGCGCCACTGTTACATACAAGGGTTTGAACGAATAGGTGCACTATTATTTATCACTTTTTGAGATATTACGTTATCATTTATCATTTTTTAAAGTATTACGCTATCATTTATCACTTTTTTGAGATATTTATATCATTTTCTTATATATAACTCACAATTTTTTAAGGAGTAATTGTTTTTTGGGTTCCCTTAACATTATTCTTTAGATTTTTTTTTTTTGAACTTTTTGATATGGTATTTACTTGATAAAAATTCATATCATAGGATTTTCGAAAGGGTAATGCCACGTCTCTTTATAAAAAGAGTAATATTACCTAAATTTAAAAATTAGACTTGATAATTATAATTATTAAATAATTAATAAATTTTAATAAATACTAAGATGAACAGTAAAATTAATAATTATAATTATCTACTTTTTAAATCTACGTAACATTACTAAAACCGAAAAGGGCAACAAATTTTTCTTAAAATACCCTCGTTAATGACAGTGGATCATATTACCTGCTTGCAAGTGGCGAAACCCTGAAGCGGCGGCCATCACATGAACTCCCAGACAGCCGACAATGACTCCGACCCCATTACAACGCTCAAGCTCCAACCTGAAGATGATGATCCAGATTGTCAACCTCAAGAAGACGAAGAAAAACCATTACCACAACAAGAAGTAGAAAGTCAACAGCACTACTACATCACCTCCATTCACTCCACGGTTATTATCAGGCAGCTCCCATCTCAAGGCCTATCGTTCCAACTTTGGCCTGCTGCGGCCACGCTCGTCACTCTCCTCGATCGTCACCGCTGTGACCCTAGCAATGGCACCACCCCTCTCTCTCCAACTCTCTCTGCCTTTTCGTCCACTTCCGGTGAAAGTTGCCGTCAAATCCGCATCCTCGAGCTAGGATCAGGCACCGGTCTGGTAGGAATCGCCGCCGCGGCAATACTCAACGCTAGTGTCATGGTCACGGATCTTCCTCACGTGCTTCCCAACCTCCGGTACAATGCGGGAGCAAACGCCGATGTTGTGGCGGTCAACGGTGGGTCCATCGACGTTGCGCCGCTGAGATGGGGAGAGAATGATGATATGGAAGCTGTTGGTAGAGATTATGATCTGATATTGGGCACTGATGTTGTGTATTACAATCACCTCTATGATCCTTTACTCGAAACTTTGAGGTTCTTGTTGATAGGGAGTGGGAAGAAGACGGTGTTTTTGATGGCTCATTTGAAGAGGTGGAAGAAGGAGTCTGCGTTCTTCAAGAAGGCGAAGAAGCTGTTTGATGTGGAGATAATACACCGTGATGATCCGTACAATGGGTCTAGGGTTGGGGTGGTTGTTTACCGTTTTGTAGGCAAAGTAGTACGAAAATGAACGTTGGGCTCAGCTAATAAGAGTTGATGCCCATTGGTAAACAAAATTGTGCTAAAAGTGAGTGTTTCTGCTATGAAAAATTTTGGACCAAACATGAAGCTAAGACAACACAAGGCTTCTCTGAAATACATTATTCATAAGCTTACAAGACTACTTTATACATACACAACCTCGATAACCTCGAATATAACACGAGAATCAATTCCAAAAATGAAAATAAAATTACCGATCACTTAATTCTCTCACACACTACAGTAGGCAGCTAGGATCTTTACAACCAAAGCTGCCTTCACAACAACAATGAATCTCTGTGGCACCAAATAATCCACAATGCAAAACTTGCATTAGGAACCATATCGCACAACAATATGATATTTCTTTGCCTGTCCCATTTCTCAGGAGTCACCAATGCAGTTTTTGACTGGACAAGTGTACTAGCCACTGAGCATACCAGTGACGGGTGAGTGATCCTCAAAGAGGGTAAAGCCATTACCTTTTAGATCCCTTCTTAAAAGCTCCAAATCATGCATTGAAGATGCTGCTTGTGATGGCTCAAGAGACAGACATTTTCGATTGGCCCAAAGACAAATATACATGCTATCATCGCCTCCGTGATGGTGTGCCTTTTGCCACAGCCTTCATACTCTGTGAATCTCTAAAGCAAACAAAGTGCACAATTGTTTTACCATTGGGGTAGACTGCAAAGACACTAGTCCCTATCTTCTTGTTGCAAAGTGAACACATACTATCACTGCTGATCTTTACAATCATCTTCCTTTGGTTATAGAGTTCATCTTTTACCTGTTTCATGCGATCAGCAGTTTAGAAGGAAAAAAGGATGCTGAGTCAAATCCAGCAAAGGGAAGCATATATCATTGCCAGGGATATATAGAAGACACTTCTTCCATCATAGTGTGACATATTAGGTTATTTTGTACATAAGCATTTCTCTATTGCATACTTGCATACCATATTAGGTTACATATAGATACTGACATACCTGCAGGTTTTCACTCTCTCTCAAACTTTTGATCACTGAAAAGTTACGGTATGCTTCGCTGGATTTTCTGAGAAGGGGTCCAAGAAACGGGAGCAAATTCTGCACAAGTCCACAAATTCATAGTAATACAGAGAGAGAGAGAGAGAGAGAGAGAGAGAGAGATTCTCCATCCTGCAGTCATTACCTGTAGCTTAGTGTCCCTTGGTAACAGTTTTAGGGCCTGCGCTCCATGGATTCGATTCCACCTTTGACTCAACAGATCAAGGACCTCATCGAGCATGATAGTAGAACCTCCTTCCTCACTAGGATCATCTGCATCACCATCACTCCTTCCACTGTCGGTGCTACTTGGGCTGATTCGGGTGTCCTCTGCACCCTCTATCTCTGCAATTTTCTTAGGTAAACGACTTTTACTTTTAGCTGAAGTCCCAGAACCAACCTTCGGAATGGCAATTCTCTGAGATGAGACTAGATTAGTTATTCGCTTTTCAAAGTTTTTTGTTGTCCTCTGAGGATCCAAATATATTTGCAGCAAAGTGAGGTATATATTGCTATAAGATTTTGCAGAATTTTGATGAATTCCACCCTCATACACCCGATCACAATAGGATAAGGCCAGTTCAGCAACATGAAGCTGCAGTATTAAGAAGACTTCCACAATTCAGTGTATCAGTGTGAAAAACAGCAATCTATAGAACAAACAAGAATTTACAAACAGATAACTGACAACTTCAATGCACAGCAATGCTGCTGCATAATTTTTCCATGTCATTAATAGGCTACAGGCTCATTGACTCATTAAATTAGTTAATTACTGCCACTAAAACGTTCTAAAACGATAGAGAAGTATGTAACATTCTATTTATCAATACCAATCCCAGTACAATAATCCTTTCATCTGGAGGATCCACAAACTAGACTTGCTTGTAAATAGGCTACAAGAAGGAAACCAAAATCTGATCCTATCTCCCAAGCACGTCAACGCTCAACCAGAACCCTCAAAAGTAGTGTAAACCAGCCTAAACTAGTTGGTGAAGTAAAAAGGCATATCCAGAGGATAGGTTTTGGAAAATCACAATGCAAGACAGAAACAAAATTTACTAAGAGATTGGCTAAATTCTGAAACAAATGTTTTTCGCCTCCCCTCATGTTCCCCTGCAAGTGGCACTATATTCGAAAACCATCTCTGTTGAAAAGAGTAAAACATGTTAACTTGAACTGGATTTACCTTATGAACATATATAGATAAAGCAAGCTCATGCTGATTCATCTTTCCCAACAAAATTGCACGCTCTTCATACAAAGCATCTGGTGGAAGTCGCTTGAACAAAACATCCGGATTATATCCTGAGATACTCTCTAAGGCAGACAACAGTTTCTTCCTCGTTGGGGAATAAGCTTTCTCATCCCATTTTTGTTGAGCACTAAGATCGGCATACCAACCAAGAACTTCCGAGAGATAAATTTGAACCTGCCATATGCAAGACCAGTAAGTATGTTTTCTGGATAAGTTAAATCTCTCATTTCATCACAATCAAAAAACAATTAGCGTATTCACTGGGTGCTATGGGACCCATCCATTCTGCCAAGTCTTCCTAATTAGCAACTCTTTAAAGAAACAAACAAGACTTTCATCTTCGATGTCAGCATACCTAGCTATCAGTGGAGGGAAATCCTCACAGACGCACATAAAACAACGTGCATCGATTATGTCCTAAGAGAGCAAGACCTGGGACGTCTGCTTCCCAAGTCATTGCCTCAGCCAACCCACTAATCCGTGTGTTACTATTCTTTCAAAGTTGCTAAAAGAAAAGGCAGAATTTGTTTACCATTTCATTCTGCAGATTTCCAGAGATCCCGTTTTCATTCATTGCAAGCATAAGTTCTAAGTACGTGGCCTGCATGGTCGGAGCGTGCTGTTTTAAGTAAGAGTTCACCATGTCTGCTGGAATGTTTCCAGACAAAAAGAGCTCAATGGTTTGAGCTGGACAGCTTTCAAGAATAAGCACTGAGAACTCCAGGACGAGCATAGGGTCAGTCCCACAAAGAGGCTGCATATGAAATTCACATATTGGTTATATAATAACAACAAATATATAAGAATGATGAACAATGGCTAAAAAGTGAAATAAAAAAACCAATGCGACGATATGACTTCTGTACACTCATGCCACAACTAAACATAAACTTTCCAAGTTACTCCAATGCACAAGACCAAAATATATATAAGCCCTAAGGAAGCCAAACATCTAGTACTACCATCCACCAAAAAAGGAGTGATAAAGATGGGTAAAGTCGACATAGAAGAGAAGATTTAACTGCTGGCCTATTTCAAAACTTAGATTTAGGGTGAGAGAGGAATCACATGTACAACTTGAAAGCAGTTGGACAAATCTATTAATTGGTTCAGAAATTTTATTAATCTGAAACTAAGGCTGGCAAATGGAAACAAAAGGAACCTAAGCTTCCCTCTCGGTGTTACTTGGCATAGTATTCACAAGATCTACTTCATCAAATACATCATAAAAGTTTTATGGGCAAGTTATAGGGCTACAATCTGATTTATGATCGTAGAATGCATATGATACAGAGTCCATACAATGTCAATGTGCAGCCATGTTGTCAACATCTTAAGCATTTAGTCTGAAAAAAAGACAAACAGTGGTGCATAAGTTAGCAAACTTACTTTGAGATATTCAATAATCATCTCAGGCTTGAACTTTTGGGTGAGCTCAGCTTGCGGTTGGTCTGATTTTGAGTCTTCTACTAACTGATGCAGAAGTTTAAGAGCTTCGCGATTCATTGCATTGCATTTGTATAGCTCTAACAAACAAGCATATTGACCCTTTTTCTGCAGAAACTCCTCGCATATCTTTACATCACAATAATTAATACCTTTCAGTACTTCTAAAGCAGCTGAAGACTGTCCTGTTAGAAGCAGAGCTTGGAGTAGTGCAGTGTCCAGAATAGCTGCCATCTCCCTAGCACCTGAGCTAATGGCAATGCTAGCCCGGCCCTGAGAAGCCAAAGAACTTGTAATGAGAATATGGAATGAAATTCAGTCACCACTCCAGATATAGTACTGACATATTATACATCAAGGATTACTGCTAGAAACTCGTGAAGCCATGAATATCACGCATATCATCAGATAAAACATAAATTTCATAATCTAGGATACTTATCAATGGGTAATCCTTGATGCTAATTCACCATCCTGCTCTACGAGACTACACATCCAACTCGGGCCTCATCAAAATTTTCCAAAAGGTAGGGGCTGTCTCTCCATCCCTCAATATGTCTGGACAGGATTATTGTTGTAATCGTTCTCAGTTTTCAAAGGGTAGAAGGGGAAGTAAACAAATAAAGTTCTTATGACTCAATGTAACAAAACTTTCTGACCACATTAAGTATGACCTAATTTAATTTCATTAAGATAATCGTACACAAATGTAACCAGTACTTTACCTTGCTCGATTTCCTAGACCGACTGGTTTCATAAGAACCAAAATTTTCTCCAAAAGCATCTGAAACAACCTCCTCAGTTCGCTCAGCAGTGGCCTTTTCAATAATGCTATGTCTCTTCTTCTGCAAGAACTTGATGAGAGCCATCAAAGTATTGTGGCTCATTTTCTTAGACTCGAGAGCTGCACTCTCATCAGACTCCAGGAGCTGAGGAGTCGGTGATGACTCCAGATCATCTGACATACCAGAGGAACCTCTTGATAGATACAAAGCATCCCCAGTGATGTCCACAAACTTCTCTGGTTCAGGTATTACAAACGATTTGGGAAGACTGATAGATGGATACAAAGAAAGTATATGGGTGATGTCCACTTGAGATGCCAAAAATTGTTCCATGGCCTCCTCATAGCCCCCATTTTCGAACAGATAGTGTGCATATCTGGAACAAATAAATATGTCATTTTGTGAAATTGTTTCATGAATGAAAATACATGATTCAGCTGGTATCTAACTCACAGCGAACACTTCAGAATCTATTGTATATCAGGTTAATAGAAATTCTTGAAGAAACTATCAAACAACATAACTATCAATTTACCCATATATGCAATTGGTGTATGAGCACAATAATAACGTATGTTTATGTGCTTATATATATATGTGTCATGTTTACATGCAGTAAAAGGACAGTAATAATTATGTGTGTATGTACTAGTTATATATGTGCACATTAACATGAAAAGTATATAAAATAAGTTATTATTTTGATTTCAAAAAACCGATATAAAGAAAATCTTGAAATAAAACGTATGCAAGGTTATATATTCACCTTATATGAATTGACTGCTCCTTTGCAGCTCGAAGGCTTGAGTCTTCCGGTGGAAGCAACTTACACAAAGCCAAGGCTTCCTCAAAGTTACCAGATGCTGTTAATTGTACAATCTGCATTGTAATTATAATATTACAATTATTTCCACAAGGTCATTAGCCATTTTTCTGCAGGGATATGCATTTCATGGTTACAAACAAGGCTCCAAATTTTTCTAGGCTTCATATACCCATAGGTGCATCAGCTAAAGTATTTTTCCAAAAAAGAAATATATTAAAAGTAAACAACCCTGGATGCATGACAAGTTGAACATAAAAATGACGACACCTGACAGGCCCCTAACACACAAAGCACACATATGTAAGCAAGTAGAATCACATACCTAATCACAAGATACAAGGAATGCACAATTTTTCCTTTTATAGCATGACTAACCCAGTCAACAACTATTACAAGAGGATAGTGTTCTTAATTGCAAGATACAGTAAAAATGGTTGTGTCATCAATTACCCTTGGTCTAAAATTTACCTGTGCACCAAGAGGAATGGGAAACAATCCATAAACAGAGTAGTCTAATGCAACAATTATTGCATTGTTGCTCTGGAGTAGACGACGAACATTACGAAGAACTACAGTTTGTATCAATGGGTAAGGAACTCGGAGAGACCACACCTGCAATCATCCAATCATACAAAACATATTAATGCATGCATTCCAAGGTCAATCTTAAAAAATCATAGCTTGTTTTAGCTAAAAGGATACCTCAACATGCCTTGGTAAGAGACCTATTGTATACGGTTTTTGAATGACAACAACTGCAGGGGCCTCAGACCAACAAATCCTGCCTTCTTGAAGAAGCTTTCCATTTTGGTCCACAAACACTCCAATATTGTCCTAAACATAGAAAGAAGAGCGCATACTGCTAATAAAAGCTCATGCAGATGGTTTTCTGAAGGCAATAAATACTTGGTAAGGATATTTGAATACAGGATGGTCTGTATTCCTAATTTCCTAGGCTCAAGGGTACTTCCTTGGCTAATGTAGAAACTGTTAATGAAGAACATTTTCTGCGTATGTCATTTTTCCTGTCTGAATTTTCAAGCTGCTTTGCACACTAGTGAACACCTGAATAAATTCAGTAACTATGGTTCGATCAACAAGGATGAGAGTACCTTCCCAAGAAGAAGTTCGCCCGATGGTAGAGACACCACTAATGGTGGAGCAATCCTGCCTGAAGGAAATACCTCAGACAATGCACCATTTGTAGCATTTAGTATCATGTACTCTCTTCTAATCCCCAGACAGATATTCTCACCACACCAAGACATTGACTTGACCATATCTGGAACACCAAATTCTTTCACTTCCACAAATCCTCGTCCCCCTACATAAGTAACAAACTCAATTCAAATCAGATTATTGTAGTCAGTCATGCCATTCTTATTCGTACAAAGATAAATTTGTCGGCAACCACCAAAATGTATTAATCAAGGCAACCCGAAATGGAATTGGACAGGAGAATACAAAAAAAGTAAAGGAAAAGGCTAATGCTTTGTTCCTATCAATACGAAGACAAACTTGTCAACAACCAGCTAACATGTAATGTCAGCGAGCCCGTGATCCATAAAAATCTTTACATGGGGCAAAAGGTAATATTTGTTGGTGGCTAAAAATTAAGAAAAAACAAGGACACACCATTTGTATAGGAACCAGAACAGAAGAGACAAGAAATTATTAGAGTCTATCTCTGCAAACCCACAGTTGCAAGGTTATTTGGAGTGTGCTAGGAACGACTACATTAAGAAGTTTTACCAAGACTCTCCTCCCCGTAAACAGGCTGATGAACATTGTAAAAATTTTCCCCGCTTACCAAATGGAAAGTATCAACCGTGGTTAGAAAAAAGTTTAAAGTTGCATGTGCCTTTTTTAACTTAGAAAAGATAGAAGAATAAGGATTCACAATGAGGGGAATTAAGCTCTTAAATCTGTTTTTTTCTCTTCTAGAGGAGCCAACCTACAAACTCTGCACAAAAGGAAGTGATCAAAGAAACACAGTTCTTTGTGATTTCATTGAGATATAATATACATGAGACTTAGACGGTGGATAAAAAGAAAACCTATCTATATTAAAACTAATACAATACACACATAATTCTCAACTCACTCTACTAACTGTGGTTGCAAGTAAGACCTTATAGTTTCGATGGAAAAAAGTAAGACCTTTATGTACAGTACTTAACACGCGCACTCGGAGCATTCAAGAGCCCTAATTACCATCTATGAGAATTAATAAAAAAAATCAACAAAAAATTACAAGGATTTACCATCATGTCTGAAAATGCAGACTCTCTTTTGCCTCGCGAAGCACAAGAACCCCCTCCGATCATCCCAGGAATACACATTCGCACCTTTTGCCTTCGTAATTACTGCAATAGTCTCTAAATTAGGTAACCGATGGAACGCGATCGATTCCGAGAGCGAAAGCAGCAGCTCTCTAGGCCCCAGAACCTCCATTGCCAGCATTGGCCTCTTCGAGAACCCATTCACGGTTCGTTCAAGCACGTACGGCTCCTTTTTGAGTTCTAGGGTTTCGGTGTGGAAATCAGACGACGGAGATCGGTCGGAACCGGAGGATTCTGGGCCGTAGATTCTGAGACATCCGTCTGAGCAGGCGATGAGTAGATTCGATCCGTAAGATTCGATGGCGTCGATTTTCGTGGGGCAATTATTAAGGAGTTCGAAGGAATCGTAGGCACTGTGCACCATGGCTCCTCTGCCCCTCTCCCTCTGACTCTGCGTGTGTGTGATCCCTGAGGTTTTGGACTTTGGATGCGGGCGGACGGTATACGACGTCGCTTGCCTTGTTTAAGTGCTGGTACGAACCGCAAGTTTGAGGGTTAGCTCCGCGCCTCTTCACTCCAGTGGCCGGTTGGACCTGTGTTGTTTGGGGACATCATGTCTGTCCCACTGATCTTAGATCGGCAGTTTTTTTATTGTTTTGGGCTCGATACTTTTTGTTTTTTTGGATCACTGGGTTCAATAATTAGGAAGTTTAAGTTGCACACACTTCGATTAATTTTATTTTTGATCCGATTAAAAATAGGTTATTTTCGTCAAAAATAAGTTATTTATGAGGGATAAATTTTTTAAAGTCTGAATTCACGAGATTATTATAATTTAAATTCAAAATGTATGAATTTATAATTTGTCCAAAATATTACTTGAACTATCTTGAGATTGGATTGACTCATCGAGACAGAGTCAAATTCGATCAAGCGTGTTTATAAGATTATTCACTGTGGTAAATAAATTTCTAAAGTTCAACAAACCTCCACATCATTGAGAAATTAATTAATTATTTAGAAGAGCAGTATTGTAAGATAATTTATTAAAAATAGTCAATGTAAACTATATAACTGCTTTTTAAAAGAAAGGACAATATATTAAATGAAAGAGAAGTATTACACTTGATCAATATATAAATTAGGACATTTTCATCTGTTGTATTCAATCCAAAACTAACATTTGTTTTATTGGAGTAGTGACAATGGATCACTAGCTTATTGAAAAATAAAACAAAAGGGCCATCGTGTAAATTTTCCAAAAAATTAAGGGGGCAATGTATTAAATTTACAAGAGGCATCATCTTTCCAATACCATATCTGCAGGTTTCTAAAAGGTCAGGGGGGCAGTTACACCCACCCTTGTAAGTGGCTCCGCCCTGGGCTCATGTGTTTCTTCTTCTTCTTTTGGTGCTTCTTTTCTGTTATACCTTGCAGCTAGCTAAACAACAGTCTAATACCTCACAGCTAGCTAAACAACCAGTATAATACCTCACAACTAGCCAAACAATGCGTGGAAAACATGAGGAAAGGTCCTGGAAACTCCAATTTAATTGTCATAATATAATCTCTTAAACCTGTTTTCTACAAGTTAAAAATGATCAAAATCTAAGTGTCGCTTAATCAAGCACATAGATTCGAGACGCTATGTCCTGAACTAGCCAATCAAATGCTTCAAGCAGCCCTTCCCCGGTGTATGCACTGCAACCCATAATTCTCCAGTGTCGGGTTTTATCCATAGCTTCCAAGTTGAGCACCTGTATCAATAACATGAGAAAATATTCAATGTAACAGTAACACAAATAATTTCGGAAGAATATGATGATGCCAATATATAGCTATATTACACATGCCATATTTGAAGAGCCCCAACCCTCCTCTCTTCTCCGGGGAAAAAACAAGGAGAGAATTTAAAAACACAGAAGACCAAAAGAGGAAAAGGAAAAAAAAAAAAAAATTGTAGGGAAGAGGTGAATTAATACTCCATTGCATTTTTTTACCTCCACTTCTAATACTGAAAGGAAAGAGGCTTTTTTTTTTTTTTTTAACACTATTATTTTTCATAAAAATAAAGCTTCCCATTGGAAAACTATAGCAAACATCAAAGTAAACATTCAAAGCCACAAATTCACACACAAGCTGCTCCAGTGCTATGGTTAATCATCAACTTTCAAATGGTAGTAGAAAGGATGTACATAGGATGCCATTGTTTTAAAGCAACACATCACATGTGAGGAATCCATGTCAAATTACTGCAACTATGTTCACTTACTTAATACTTGATCATAAAATAGCTTCAGCCAACCCAGAACAAAACAGAAGGCTATATAAAGATCAAGAAGAATCTATTCAATATAAAAACGCTAATGTACTATGAGTCCCTGATCCCGATTCTTATGGCAAGATAAATTCGATTTACCCTCAAACTCCCACAGTCCACCGTCATGAGATGAACAACTTAAAGCTTGATGATGTTACGAAAGCCAGGCCACACATAATACTAAGAGAAAAGACTTAAAAAATTACTCAAGATGAAGTTCCAAGTAAACATACCAATGTATGTTAATCATTTAGAATTTGAATTTTCAAGTAACCGTGTTTAGATTTAAACTTATGCATATCAAAGACCTACTGAGAAATAATGAATTGGAACTTCCATTGGCTTGCACCCTTACCTTGGCTATTTCGTCTGGTGAAAGAGCACCTTGTATGTCCTGCTTATTTGCCAGAATCAGTAATGATGCTCCTGATAGCCTCTGTCAACAAAGGAAAAAAATAAGCTGCATAACAAAATGGAATCCGATAGGCAAAAAGCCAAGCAGGTGACAGCTGCAGTCTCACAATTTGACACACTAATCTTCAGCATCACAAAACAGCTACTATAGCTACATTAGTAACAGCATCTGCTTGTATATTTCAATATGTGACATGAAAAATAATCCAGGGAAATGAAGATAAGAATTGAAGAACTGTACATTTATGTCAAAGTCATGCCTTTTTTTTCATCCTCACTACCTGATTTAACGGGGTAAACTAGCTCTCTAAAGCTAGACCTCTTCAGATGAATTGTTGGATCTTGGTTATAAATAAATAAAGGAGACACATATCTGGCTATCAGAACTCAGATAAAAATACTAATAAGATCAAATATTGGTCCACCACATTGAAATGCATAAATAAATGACCAGCCCAGCTAACTCATTAAGTAGCCGTTGATTGGACTTCTAACAGCAACAACTGCAATCAGGTCTGATATGATCTTGAAAAGTTTCTTATGGCAAAGTACAAAGTGCTAGGAGAGATTATTTAGACAGAAAGGAGCATCTACTCTGATAATCTGTCTAGGCAAGATGAGCACAGAAATGACAACTAGTTGTCTAAGAAAGAGGAGGATACAATTGCAATTGTGCTTCACATATTGTTGATCTACAGGTTATCAAAACACACAGTTGGTCCAAGCACAGTGATAAATGCAGCCTTTCCGAACTTTAAGAGAATTTGAATTTTCCACTTAATTCTCATAGTAATAAATTGAAAGGCAGACATCAGAACATAATTCAGCAAGAAATTAACCAAAATCACATTTTATTTTTGGGGAACAAACACGAAGCATACGTAAAATGCACAAAATTAACATCATCCTGGATTTTTTTCAATTGGGGCATACTCGAGGATTGGGGTATTTCTGAAGCCATTCGTGTGTTATTGAATATTGGGGACAGCTAGTATCATTGCTAAACACGAAGATACAATATAAAAATATTGAAAACGTAGAAAAGACAAATTGTGCGAATGATGACAGTATCCCCACTGAAAAGAAACTTCCAACTTCCAAGGGCATGTAATAATTCAACATGTCTTGCATCAAATAGAACTTAAAAAAAAAAACACTGTCATCCCGTACTTATAAGGTGCATAAACCTTTTGTAAAATACATCAAGTATGCTACCCATTCGTAGATTGACTCAACTTGTACAAAGTGAAGTGCTAATAGACAAACGGAAATGCTTAAGTTGATTCCTGAAAGCTCATGGGAAAACAATGCAACAGCTATCCTGACCCGCTAAAAAAATTCCAAGTTCATATTTCTTTTCCCATCTCTTCATAAATAGAGACAACATAGTACAAAAAGAAAGAGACAGAATGAGGTATACCTCTTCCTTCAGAAGATTATCCAGTTCGTACTTACAATCATCTAACCTTCTAAGATCGGAACTATCAACCACCCACACCAAACCATCAGTTTGCTCAAAATAGTTCCTCCAGTAAGATCTTATAGTCCTTTGCCCCCCAACATCCCATATGTTAAGAGTATACCTGTCAATATCAGATCGATTATCAATGAATTGCATTAAAACTACCAAGTAATCATCGATGCTTCATTCAACTTAACAATCGACGTAACCAAGTTACCATATAGATGAACCTAAACAATTAGAAGACCCTTAGTTTAAAGAATCCAATTTATTTCAATAAAATGAAGTGATATTGGGTCCAACATAGAAATTAAAAAATAATGAATTTTCAATCATTCGTTTGACAAACAACACTGAGTGAGTGTAACGGAAATTTAAGAAAAAAACATACTTGTTGTAAGTCATGGTCTTGATGTTGAAGCCCAGAGTGGGACTGATGACGCTTGTGTCTTCGCCATTGATCTTCAATACAATTGTAGTCTTCCCTGAGTTATCAAGACCCCTACAAGGAAAAAAAAACAAACAAAAAAAAGAAATAGATACATAATTATAACTCCCAGTATGCATGAATTCGCACACAAACAAAGAGGGTATGTATAATATAAACGTACACCATGAGAATGCGCATTTCCTTCTCCTTTCGCTTGATCTTTCGAATTATGCTCAGAAGCCCCATCGAAGCAACCTCTTACTGCCAAACAAAAAGAAGAAAAAAAATTCGATTCACACTCCCTTTCCAGATCTACGGGTGGGAGAGGGGGAAGAAATCCGAGAATCGGAGTGTTTTATGTGTGTGTGTGTGTGACTGTGCATGTGTATTTGATCCGACAAGAAGAAAAAGGATGGAGAATAAGAGAGAGAAGAGAGGAAGGAGAAGAGCCATTACCAGCTGGGTGACTGGTGGGGGCGAGGATTCCCGGCGGGGAGGAGAGAGAAGGAGAGGGGTAGGCAGATCGAAATGGGGAAATAAAATGGATTTTTATTTATTTTAGGGGAAACCATTCAAGTGGCAAATGAAGATTTTTTTGTATTTTTTAAGGGACAAAATAGAATTTTTTTTTTTTTAATCTCCAAGTTTGATGAATTTTTATTCCTCAAGACTTCTACAGATTAGAAACTGAAGGAACAAATGTTCCTTAAAATTAATGTGTATGGGAACTCGCGTGAAACTAGATTCGAAAAAATTCGCTTTAAATTTGAGTCTTCGTCTTTAACTTTTAGATTTAATCAATATCGGGATAAGGGGTATAATTTGGGCTGGTTAGATAGGTTGAGAGGTCAACCTTAATCCAATTCTAAGTATATAATTTTCAATCTTAACTCGGTCTCAACCCAAGATACTCAACTTGAATATTGCCCGAATTTAATTCGGACGATCTCAAGTTGAATTTGGATTACTTAATGCGGGCTAATTTCAAATTTGGCTTGAATTACTTATTTTAGATCGATTTTTTAAAGTGTAGATTTGATTTTTTCAAGTGATTTAAGATGAAGAACAAGACACAAATAAAGAGGGAGGGACTGAGAGAGGTAGGTTGAGAGTCTGAAACGATTCAGACTAGTCACAATTGAGAGAGGAAGGTTGAGAGAGTCACAATTGTGAGAGGGAGGCTGAGAGTCCGAAATCAGATGAGAGACAAATGATAGAGAGATCTGAGAGTAATGGAGGCGCAGAGATGAAGAATTGAAGTGAAGTGAAAGTCTATATTCTGAAGAGTGAAGAAAAATATTAATCCTAATTAAATATATTTATATATTTATGTATATTTGGGTTGAATCCGACAACCCAAAGCTTGTCCAAATTTAATTTGGGTTGAAATTTTTTTGCCTAGCCTAATTCAAATATTAAAAATTCTAATTCGAACCCTGTTTTTTGGAGTTGAGCTTGGGTTGTCTCGCCCAAATTGTACCTCTAATTCCGGATAATTGTGTATATTAAAAATATATATATATATATATATACCAAACACCTTAATCGGTCTTCTTTGAAAAAAAAAATTCCAATTCAACTTCCCGGGAAGGATGAAAGATTTTTTATGGAACTAATGAAGCTCAACTTAAGCGATGGTTTATGAAAATTGTTGTTCTTTTCCTCTTGAGCAATGTTGAACTACCAACTCATCTAAAACATGAGACCCTTTTTTGGTTGGTACATCACATGATTGTTTACTCTTGTTTTAAGTTAGAAAAGCAGATGTATGATATAACTGAAACTTGGGACCTCTAAGCTCAGATATTACATTGAACCACAAATCATCGATTAGTAAAAAATATAACATAAATATTTATTTAATAAGCAACAGAAATGATATTGCATTCTCCATTCTTTTTTCCCCTCAACCTCCGCCCCACTTTCAAAAACAAAATTAACCAAAAGAAAATATTCACATTCGGTGTTTTCAAGAATACAGGTAAACCATCCCTTTCTTCTTTTCTTTTCCTGTCTCCGGACAAACAAACGATCTCAAACTCAGTTTCCAATAATCTCAAAATTCATCGTTATTAAAGGAGTAATTTTTAAGTCAATAGTCCAATACGACAAACCTCCTTTTAGTACCTCTATGCAAGTGACACGAAAAATGTTGAATAAATTTTTGTTTGAGTACATTTTGAATATAAGTTTGCATATTTGTTTTAAAATACAAATTACTAGCGACAGCCCTATGCGATGCACAGTTATGCAACTAAAAATATGAATAATTTTTAGGTTCAATCTGAGAGGAAAGAAAAAAATTGAGGTAGAAAAAGAGAGAATAGACAATGGAGAGAGGGAATGGATGGGAGGTTAGGCCAGACATAAACAATGGGAAATGAGAAATAAGACTGAAAGCTACAAATAACTTGCCAAATAAGAAAGTAAGAAATAAGATTACAACTTCACTAATTTCTCCAAGTTAAGGCTTTTGGTACATGAATTTTTGTTAACTTAGCCTTGGGGCCTTGAGTAAATGAATGCTTCTCACAAATCCTTTGCCAACCTCACCAACAGCTTTCAATGCATCAAGCAAATCTTTCTCCTCCTCACACGTATCTCCTCGTTCCCGTTTCTGCAAAAATAAATAAGGGATCAACAAGTTGGGAACTGTTAAATGTTATTGTTAACCCATGATAGATGGGTGGACATATCATAGATACCTTGATTGCTTTCTCCCACGTAAGGCCAATGGCATCACCTCCTAAAGAATCATACCATACCTTGAATCTGTTGGGAAACTTTTTCTGCAGATATGAATGAGGGAGTGAGCTCATATTACACACATTTGCAGCAACAAAGTGTCGATGTTTCTCAGATATAAATATTAAAGCATTTTGAATACTTGGTGATCTTAGTCGATGGTCTCGGGGATAAATATTAAAGCTTTTTGAATTCTTGCCTCAAGATCACCAACAAAACACCTAACAGGATCAAAGTTCACCATCAGCTTATTCTTCAGCTCATCTAAGCTTCCTTTGATGTCTTCAGGTAACATGAAGGGATTGAAAAGTTTACTTGCATTCCCACAAACCACACGTCTCCCTAGATGAAAGTTGAACATCATTAGAATTCAAATACCCGGAAATATTCAATAGTTTGCAAAGTGACCAGAACATGCATCTACAGAAGTACCAAACATTTTTAGGAAAAGGGAAAAAGAACACAAAAACAAAGAAAGAAAACCTTGGTTGAGTTCGGATGGGAAGAGGAGATGGCTTGGATAAGGCATTTTGTCCCTATGGAGAAGAATAGCAGCATCATAGTTGTTCAAAGGAGTACGGAAAATGCACTGCAAACCAGAATTTGCTGCATAATAATCAATCGATATGATAACAAATGTAAATTGAAAACCATAGGAAGAAATTGGAATATGCTTCACTCACCTCCCATCTGTAAGAATCGGGCTGGTCCTGTAAAATGAGTTTGGTCAACAAAGAAACACTGCTTCTCGCATACGCCATCAATCTTCTAAGCTCCTTTCACATCAATGAAACCATGTCAAAGCAAATAGATAGAGAGCACATCTTATTAAACAAGCAGTTTTAGCATATCCAAAATGAAGACCCGTAGAACTAATTTTAGGCCTATGGCTTTCGTAAAGAGTTGGTACGTATGTGTTTCATCATGAAAGGGGTTCAAAAATGGTTCAATGAAATGCAATACTAGTTCAATCCTAATTCCTAAATATTAGATGAATGAATGAAAGCAACAATGTCACATGAGCGTTTTCACAATTAAGATAAATTGAGTCTTGAATACAAGAGATTCTGATTAAAAAAAAAAGAAAGAGAAAAAAATAGACTATCAGCAATTAAGTACCACCACTAGCTCCAACGAGGATGTTCTTAATGTCTATTTCAATGTGAGACAAACTTAAAGACTCTAAAATAGAGGTACTCTCAGTTTCCTCAAAAATGTAACAATTAGAAAAATCTCAAGGGAGAAGGAAGCACCCATCACATTCAGTGAAATTATTTTTTCAAAGAATAATTATCATAAACAATATGACTTCTATGAATAATAAAAGACAGTACAATTATTGGGATGAACAGCACAAAAGATCAACCCTAGTCTGAATAACAGAACATTAAAAAACAACTGGCTCTTAGGTCCAGGAATAATTATTCCACCAAAGTCGTTTTCAGAAAACTACTCACTGCTTGGGTTGGTGATGATCGGGTCCAAGCTTCAGATGTCTGGTCATAAGCAGTAGCCAAGAACATGGCTGGGTTTACATTTTGCATGTTTTCTTCATAACCTTTTCTACTCAACATGAACTTTTCCTGTACAAATATGCAGCTTAGTTGCGAAAAATAACAAAAGGCTTTTTATAGGCCAATACCAAGACTGAGGGGCTTACATTGATCTCTTTTTTGTCACCTGGAGTCAAATCACCATTTATGTCAACAACTAAAGGAGAAAAGGCCCAGTCATACTCGGATAATAACCGTAAGAACCTGCAAACAAGTTGATATGAATACAAAATAGGATATTGTTTGCCATCAAAAACTAGATGAACTAAAACATGATAATATTTTCGATAAATATATAACCACATAAGAGTGACATGGAGTTCTTAAAGCTTGATGATATGATAAAACATTGATTGGTTTTCCACTGCATGCCTTGACAATAAACAGAAAAAAGGAAAGGAAAACAGGGTCACTAGATCTAGCTACAATAAAAGAGAATGAGCTCTCTAACGCAAGGATTACTCGCATCTACAAAGTAAACATGAAAAGCAAACCTAAAATTTTAAGGCGAACATCACATCCTGTGTGAGTGCAAAATCCTTTATTAAACACACCTCATATTAGAAGCATGGACACAAGATACATGCACAGCAAATGATGTTTCATGTTGTTTCAAAAATTCTTCAAGAAAAAAATAAGAAATCAAAGCAAAATATCGTTTACATATATGCACGTACACAAAATTATGTTATATCAGCAATAATAATTTATGATATGGAAAAGATATTTAACATGATTTCTACCTGATGAATCATAATAATCAGCATTCAGCTATACCACATAGATATAGAATTGGCAAGGACAGAACACAAGAGTGTATGAATCCGTGCGAGTGTACCACAACCTCCATCTTTCTTACTTCAGTTATCCATTGCACCTAAACTATTTCATTAAAATTATCTTCAGTTGCATTGTTGTGTTTAACAATGATACTACTTCTATCCTAAAAAAGGCATTATCAAAAATCCAAGGTCTAGTGGTCACAACTCACCAACATTTGTATGCTACTAAGTACCAAATCTTGAAATACAATTACTTCACCAATATACAAACAGGGAACCCAACCTTAGAAATCCACTGATACGCGAGGAAGGGGCATAAAATGGCAAAGGATTCAGAAAGAGGTAAGCAACCAACAGCTCAATAGCCTCATCTGTCAATGAGGCTGAAAATAGGTGTGCAGAAACCCAACGTTTTGCAAGCCTTCATAAACACATACAGAGAGTCAGGAGATCAATTGATACAGACACACACACACACACATGCCGTCACACACTCAAATTCTCACCGAACAACTGGCCCGTATATTGAGTAACGGCCATGTAAACCATTAATCATGCTAGAATGCTGACCACATAGAAAAAGTTGTTTGTCCGTACACAACACCCGCTTCGCCTGGTCACCTCCAACTACAAACAAAAATCAATTCTATAAGTATAAATGAAAGTTAGTAGGTCCAGCATATGCACCATAATGTGGATTTATACAAAAACAAACATTTCTCACTTTGCCTTTTCAATAAGCTCAGGCCCTTTTCATGTAGAATTTTAAGGCGAAATGCATATCCAGACATGAAAACATCTACATCATTCTCTGTAGCAATACATGTCATCCCCCAATTGCTCTGGAGACTGTCATAATAGTACTATCAGATACGTCACTTATAAAAGAAAGATTTCTCTATATAAAAAACCTCCATCCACACCCACCTTTCACCAATTCTGAGAAGAAATGCAGATTTGGTCTTCTCAATCGCAACGTCATCCATCGGCCAGTTCCCGGAACCTTCCAGCTGTACCAAGTAAAAAATGATTACCAACAACTATGAGAAAGAAATAAAAAATGAAATCATTTCCAATCAGCAGCTACCATGCCTGGATCATAACTTCGAGGGGTTGTATACACGTTGAAGTGAACTTCTGAAGTTTTAGACCAACACCTTTTTCATATGCTAGGGGATGGGGTGTAGGAGTGAAGACAGATGTCAACCTGAAAGCTGTGACCATTGGTAAGCCCAAAGCATTTTCACAATAGAACTTACACCCACACACGTGTGCGCGTGCTATAACAGTATATGAGCAAAATAAAAGTTTTGCATGCTACCAATTATTAAATAAATAATAAGCATAGCAGGAAACCAAGTTGTCTAAAAACATACATCTTTATTCAACCAAAGAACAATTCTGCAAAAATCAAGTAGAAAAAAATTTCAAGAGCCAAGCACCACATGAAGCAAGATCCTGCATTTCTTTCCTGATTTTTCCTTTCGAAATAAAAAACGTAAGGGAGACATTTCCAAGTAATGGAGTGGTTAGAGCTTTCTTTGCTGTCCTCCTGCCAACAAATGGGATCCAAGTCAAAACAGAAGTTGGCAATTCTCCCTTACCTCCTTGCTTTTTGAATAGCCGGCTTTGACGATTGCACTTACCATCCCTTACAACATAGGGCTTGCGAAAAGAGTAGTGAAGAAGCCAAGACGAGAGAGAGAAATAACTCCCCTTCGCTTTAAAGTATAGAAGAGATTACTCTGGTATTTGTACCTCTTCCTCTATTTAAACAAATGATGTTTTAGCAACAGCAAGCCAAAGCACTTGGCATCCACTCTAGTTCAATGAAATTAAGGGATCATATTATGTGAGCCTAGCCTTGAAAGTAATACTGAATTTTACATCATGCCTAATATCATAATGGCAAAAGATGATATCAAGTGCAGTAACATATATAAACCAAGGGCATGCAAAAATCACATGACCCACAAGAGAGGCGGGCCAGGAAATATGGAGACTCTTTCAGATCAGAAAGAATACCCGAGTCTAATGGCTGCACACTGGAAATCTTCAGAGGAATGTCATTGAGAAGACGCAAACGCTTTGACAGATCATCAAATGCATCAAGTAAATTCTTAGGATCTGGAAAATCATAAAAACTTCTAACCTTAAAACTTCCATCAACAGAAAACTGATATAAAAAATACTTGCAAAAACTAGCTATCAGTGAACATGTAGTTTTACCTCCATTGCCATGGAGAAGAGAAAAATCAAGTTGATCTACAATTGTACAGATATTTTCTTCTGACAGGGAAAGATGCCGAGATAGAATATGCTCAATTATCTCTTTTATGATGAGATGCCTTTCCCATTCTTTGTGCTCCCATACTATCAATTAGGGAAAATATAGAAGGCATGTTAAGAATGTCAACCATTGTGATCTCAAACATCCACATAAAATATAAGCATATTAATAAACACCTCACCTACGGCTTCAGCAATTTCACCATCTCGAAACTGCCGAAGGGTTGCAATATCTCCCCAAAAGTTACGGAATTCAAGTGCCTATTAAAAATACAAATCAGATCATTACATGCATTAAAAATTAAAATAAGGCATTCAAAGTCAAGTGTCTAACCCCCCCCCCCCCCCCCCCCCCGCCCAAAAAAAAAAAAGAAGAGAAAAGAAAAGAACAATAAAAAAGACCCATACTTAAGAAACCAAATACCTCATCTTTATTCTCAGGACTAGGACCCATGATAGCCTTTTTAAAAGCTTCCTCTGTTGAGCTGACTAAAATTCCAATGAACAGTGGCTCTCTATCTAAAATTGCCAACCCCTGGAATTATAAGATAATTGGAACAAGTTAGCTGGAATAAATCACATTTATAACATGATACATCAAAGATCTATGTAGGGATCTCATACATTCTCAAAGTTGCAATCCAAAGTGGTGTTCCTCCAGATGACACGCACGAACTTTGCCCTCTTTGTCAATCCACGATGCATTAGGGAAAGCACCTTCTGCTCATACGATCTCCAACATTCATCGTCCAAGCAAAATCCTGAAGCAGAAACTTCACCATTTCCCTTCAAGTTCAATCTAAGGCACAAAAATCTCAGAAAGTGACAAGAAGTTTTGTTGATAATAAAACAAAGGAGCGAGAAACCTAAGCAAATTGCAAAAAATGCATTACACTAAGTACATCTGTTATTAACAACTGACAATTTTATGCATTGTCAAAATCCTGAAAACTTGTAAAGATTTCTAAGAATAAACTCAAGTGTGATGGGATGTCACAGCAGCGTGATTGAGACATGCAAGTATTTTTGTATCGTTCAAAACTACAATCCAATAAGACCAAGTTTGGACAATGGGCTACAAAAGAGTATACAGAACTTGGATGTAAGATGTATTCATATACACCGAGTTGAAAACAATGAAATTGGACTTAACACATGCTGTTTCAGGCACAAGAGGAATCATATTTGGGCCAGAAGAACTCTTCATTCTTTTTAACAAAAATTACACCTATTGACTGTAAGTTGATGTCAAATCTTGACAACTCAATGAAGTTGGATTACGGTACTAGGATATCTTTTAAAAATTAATAAGAAGATATGAAAGTGGTATGTTATTAGCACAAATTTTAGAAAATACAACCACCTTGCAGTTTGTATGTTTTTTTTCAATTGAGAACATATCTAAAAGTTGTCTCTTAGAAATCTAAGGGAAACTACAACCGCAATTTTCTGCATAGAGTCGCCATTGTGAAAAAAAAAATCATTTAGCATAGATTTGTGTATTGCCCAATATTAGTCCAGTGTCCCTCCAGTTTGTGATGACTTTCAAAAATGTCAATTAATCACAACCTGCTGCAGATACATTAGACTTTTTTTAATATTTTGCCAAAACATTACAGCCGTCACAAAGTATCATCTCAAAAAAGCTTACCTTATGCAACAGTCATATTTGGCAGGAAAGTCAATCTTGGTCAAAAAAATCTCATCAAATCCACCATCTTTACATTTATCAATGCAAATAAGTGCCAAAGCAGCTTCGCCTCGGAGCTGAAAGTTTAAGATAAGATCACAAGTTTCAGGTGAGCACACAGTGTACCAAAACAGATTTTGTGCACCAAACTAGGAAATCTGTGGAGAAAGATCCAGACTATACTTAAATCATAAGAACCAGTAGTGGAATGCAAGCATAAGTACCTCCTGAAAACCATTTTTTGTCATGCGGAACACCAAATTAAAGCCGGCAAATGGATCACTTATAACTATAGGAAATGACCATAAATATGTCCCCCTTTGCTGCAAGTCCAAGCACGAAATGTATATTGATATGAGCTAACTGGTAAAATCTGTAACAGCTAAACTATGAGTGCAGAGGCAGAAAAAAGTATACTAGCACCCAAAAGTTGAAGTACTCTTGTGACAGAAATTTGGACTATGTGAAATGCAAAAGAACGTAGGAACTTGGCCTTCTCCAGCAAGCATATTTACTTTGAGTTCAAAGGTAGGCAATATTGCAAAGGGCAATTTAACTAAAAAAGAAGTTCATCATTTCATGACACTGAAAATTAGGTTCATATATACATTTTCAAGATAATTCAAGCTCACCATCAGTATTTGTTTCTCGGAAATATTCTCTTACTCGGGGAATTAAACAAGATGCTTCTTTTCTGGTGTTGTTTTGGGAGAAGTAATACAAATTGTCATGCAAGAGAATCATATAGGGCCAAATCACAGGTATGAAAGGTCACAAAGCAGCAAACAAAAATTAAAAAAAAAATCATAGGAATAAAAGGCAAACCTCCTTTGAAATATTATGTCCACCTTGGGGCTGAAATAAAAGCCCTTGGTCCCATAATTTCGAATTGGCTGCAAAAAAATATAGTAACAACTACTATCATTATAATACCTAACACTAGCTAATGCTACTGACTGAAAGAGCTTGCGGTTAATTGAAAAAGGACAGACCTTAAAGAAAAGAACGATAGCAAGTGAAGTTTAAGAATGGAAAGTAAAAAGAAAAGAAAATTCTTGCATGCATTTGGGTACAATGAAATTTCCAAGAAAAATTATAGAAAAGTTTCATTTATAATTTGAAAGCATGAAAATTGAAAGAAAATAACATCTTGTTTTACCACTCTTTTTTGCTTTACTCTGCAATGAAAGATTAGAAATAAGAACAAAACTCATAAAAATTCAAATTTGACAAAAATTTGGTATCATTTAATACCCCTTTTCTTGGTAAATGTAAATATCATATGAAAATTTTGTTTGAGAAACAAACAGGGCATACAGAATTCATAGCTTAAAATTTTAGGCACTTGGTGCTTTTTCATCCAATGCTATATGAGCTTTTTAGTCAATGATTTATCAGTTTCATGATTAATTTTGCAATAAGATGAAAGTGACTGATTGCAGGATCTTTCTCAGTCACCATGCAAGCAAAACATATACAAGCTTCACTAATTTGTGCGAATGACGAAGTAATGACTTTCACTGGAGCGAACCAAAATATGAATGATGGGAAAGAGTGGAAAGCAAAAATATCAGGATGAAGTTTCATGTGAAAAATAAAATTCCCTGCTTTATTATGGGAATGATATGGCTAAGCTTTTTGGAAAATCAAGTAGATACAGGAATTCATTTATTCCCAGAATATTCTGTTTTTCTTTTTTCGGAAGGTGAATATTGTGCTTCACTCTAACAAAACTTCTTTAAGACAATATTATTTTCCATTTCCCGCTGTTTCTCGGACTGTCCCACTAACCAAACGGACATCTAGGAATTAGCTGCCACGCAAAAAAGGTCCTCTACACCTATAATCCATAACTTGGAAGTAAGGGTGACAAAAGTGTATCAAAAGTTGCCCCGACTGCAAGGAAAAATTTGATGCAAAACTCAGATAGAGTATAGTCAAACAACCAACATTAGGAAATACTTAAGTTTCAGGTGCGTACTTTGTTCTCTAACAAAAGATATCTGGAAAGTCAAATAACTGGTTAACAGGGCCCTAACCAGTCAAAGTAGCATCACATTCACTCGTTCTTCAGTCTAGCAGAAGCAACAATTCAAAATTCCAGGCTCTTGAAACAATCATTTGTAACTGGCTGGGTAGATAATGCAGAAAGATAAACCCAGATGATTCAGCAGAATCACCAGTCTTAAGTTCTTTTGGTTTCAATTAAATATATTATTACCAACTATTGGACTTCGTTAACTGAAGATGCTCGAAGAAGCTGGGAGGACCTGCTGTATTGATCCACCATCTAGCTTTCATACATAGGGTGGCTGTTTTTCCACTCTAACTAATGTTTCCACATTTTACAACCCAAGCTTTCAATCATTGCACTAACCAATGACCCCTCAAAAGTGGAAGCACTCTTGAGGTTCGAAACCCTAACATATTGATGGAAAAAATTGTTGGCTAATTTATTGCTTCCCACCAACTCAACATGCAATAGTTATAGCCTCCAATGAGATAAAAGAAATGTGCTTTATCAAAGCCTCATGTTCCCTTTTTTTTCTGGCTGAAAGTATATCTTCACAGTTGACAAGCTCCACTTGATCTTGACAAGGTTATAGGCTACTAGACCCAGATTGGCAAGGGTTCCGTATCCATTATGTCATCTCAAATACATAGTCAAATTTTACTCCACAATATTCCTTTTGTCTTGGGGTTTCCTGGTCATTTGTTGAAGAAATTTTGTTATCCCTTTATGGTAGCCTTGAAGAATTCAAGCAAGCGATATCAATTACAAATCTTAAACCTTTGAACATTGGGAAAAAGGGTTACAAATTGTACAATACATTCAACTAGTGCTAAGCACGTAACTCTGAACTACAACAAAGTCAAAAATGAACAAACCATACATACCAATGAAATCCAATGTGACACGAAGTATCTGCATTGCATTCATTGAATTGTTAATGCGATTCCCACCAGATTTCGTTGCCAGGTATGCCATTATAATAGAGATTAGGGATCCATTCAAGCAATCATGAGCATATATGGAACTTCTCTGCCGAGCCCAGACCTAAACCATCACAATAGAAGATTACTTTCTATCTCAAAGAATGGAGTTATTGCATCAAATTTTACACCACCACGGTACAGGCTAATCATACTTTTAACAAAATTAAAGCCTCTCTCAATTCCTTCCATTCAAGAAAAGTTCTCCTGATGAATTCTGTGTTATCTTCAAGAAACATGTCCTCCAGTATGCTACTATTGTACTTTGGTGTAGCTTGTAACACATCCCCTAATAGCAATTTCAAACCACATTCATAATTCAATCAGACGAATAACCATAGAGCACAAAGATGACAGTGCATATGAACCAATAACTACATTTTACCTTGATTCACAGCACGGACATTGTTACGCTCCAAATTCAACTTTGCAACACTAAACAGGGATGTTGCTGTAGGAATTATCCTCACAACCAATCCAGGGTTTTCAAAAAGCTTCACAGCTACAACACCAAATGATCATTTTAGTTCAAAATGATGGCATAGTAACTAGTGGCCACTCATGAAATTTTCAACTCAAAATCAAGAGAAGCAAGAGGTAAACAAAATGCTCAAGAATTCCGCACCAGGATACACAACCAATATAGGTTTTCGAGCCTCATTTTGGAAAGTAGACCACCTAACATTTTGGACTGACGAAGAAAGATTTAAATACTTCTTGATTATGCAGAGATAAAGGCATCTTTTGGCATGGTACCGATGATTCAGATAGTCTTTCTCGTGAAAACACTCCTGAGGGAAAACAAAATACACTCAAATGTTGAGACAAAACCAAAATATAGAGGATAAATATGATGCAGCAATTTTAATGGTCGTATTCCATGGCGAGAACTTCAGATAATAACCCCCTTCTGGATTCTTGCAAATTGTCTCTACAGTTCATAAGCAAGTAACTATTTAGCAAGGCGCCTTGCAAGTGCTCTACATACCTCTTCCAAGCAATGAAGAACCTAGTCAACAATTTTCCGAAATCGGGTAATCTCACAAGATTGTAAGAATTCTAATTTGAGATCCACTAATAGATATGATGTACAAAAATATTTTGATGCTTTAACATTACGTGATAAAATTAACGCTGAATTAAAAAGTTAAAAAAAAAATTTATTCTTAAATCAGCTCAAAATAAAAAATGAAATATTTGAAGTGTAACGATTAATACCATAATAGATATTGGTGTGCAAACCAATTTTGAAACAAAATTGGTTTGTATATCACCTGTCAATTAAGTAAATTAAAATGCAGTAAAGTTGAGAGGGAGAAGACCAAGTTTCTAGTGGTTCGGTCAAGGTGACCTACGTCCACTTGGAATGGCAAGGATCGCCGGAATTTTATTAACTCCAGTACAATGGGAGAACAGAAGATTACAAGCTTTTCAGAGAGGAGGAGAGAATTGTGCTCAAAATGAATGAGATGCCCCTCAAGTGTTGGTAGGACTTACAATTGATAATGGCTTAGTGTAGTAATTGCATAGCTAGTCGGACGGTCATAATGGGGTTGGGACTGTTTAATAATCATAACGGATTGGTGTGACTTTAATAGTGATTAAATAAATTGATGACCTTTGCTCTCCTCAACGGCGAGGAAGTTTATGATGCTCTCCGAGCGACGAGGGTGAGGCTCCTGGACGCTCCCTTGGTGGTGTAGAGGAGACTCCTAGATAACTTTGCATGCTCCTTGTTGACGTAAGTCCTTGAACTTGATGAGTTTGATTAGACCGATCACATTGGGCTGAACTTGGTGGACTTCTTGGAATTAGGCCTTAAAACTCGGACCAGGCTTATAACATGAGTTGGACCCTTGGGTTTTAAGGAACTTAAAAAGGAGGACATTCAGTCGAGTTTGAATTTTTGACCAAACGATAAAATTGGAAAAACTTCAGAAGGCCAAAACATATACTTCCAGGTCTTTTTTAGGCTTTTTTCAGCATCATTCACGACCAAAGGCGGTGACTCTTGTAGAGCTCTTCGAGAGCTTCGATTTGACATATTATAGGCCCCGTTTGGAGTTACGGTCAAAATAGCGTACACACCTCTTAAAATCCGAATTTTTTAAAAAATTCTCTTGATTGACAACCCCATCCCTTCCAGTAGATTCTTTTTGCTTGTAGGGACCCATTGACTATATAAACTCTCTTTCTCATTTCTTTTTTGGATTTTTAGAAAGCCCTAGTTACAATTTGAGACTTTTGAATTTTTTGCTTTTCCAAGAAAATTTTGAAACCTTAGGTTATAAATAGTAACTTTCTTCTTCATTCCACCCATTTCATTCATTCTTGAGAAAGAATGAGAGTTTTTCTTGAGATCTTTCAAGAACCCATTGGTGAGAATTCCAGAGTTTAGCATTTTGAACAATGGCAGTTAGTGGTGAGAATGGTTGAAGTTCTGTAAATCTTGGTGAAGAACTCGAAGGAGTTGGCGTTGTCCTTGGAGGGGAGATAAAGGCGCAAGGCCTAAGGGAGGTGGAGCCACCGTGGGACACCTCCGCTGGGCTCGTGCCTGTAGTGCACGCAGTGGGAGTTCTGGGCGCTAAGTAGGCTACTGAACGCGATTTCGGTGCTGAGCGGGCTGTTTTGGGCAGGCAGAGCAATGATTTCGCTGCCAATCTGCGTGCTAAGACGACTGTCTGCTTGCTGCTGAACGTGAGGGAGACAGATCTGGGCAAGCAACCTGCTGCACTAGGCAGCTTGGGCGAGCAGCCTATTCGAGTTTTTCCAAGCGTAGCTTCTCAAAATCATTCTCCTATAGACCTTTCTGACTCGGACAGAGTTTTTCGCCATTGCATCAAAAAACATCGAGGCAAGGTAGTTGTCGATGATGATAGGTCCAAAGTAAGTACCATCTCTAGCACTTTAAATTCAGATGATGATATTTTACGAATTGTCTCTACCTATCATATTCTTTCGACTGTACTATGCGTCGAGCCGAGATGGGTGAGCCTGTTTGCGATAACTCCTCTGGTGACATTGCTATTTATGAGGAGGTGCTTGAGGCTGGGCTCAGGCTTCCAATGCCTTCTCCTGTTTGTGGCATCCTGAACTATTTTTCCCTGACACCTGAGCGGTTGGCGCCCAACGGTTGGAGAGTGTTGTTGAGTTTCTTAGCATTATGGAAGAGGGTGCACCATGAGGATGCCTCTCCTGCGGAATTTCATGCAGCTTATTACCCGAGTAAGACTCTTACTCCTAACCGAGGCTGGTATTATATTACCACAAAGGGAGGCAAATTGATTATCATACTGCCCTCCAAATGTCAGGGTTAAAAGTCTCGTTTCATATTCATCGGTGGAGAGTTGGGCTTCGGATGCCAATAAGGCGTTGGTACCAACACGATAGGATGCTCCAAAGAAAGTTGGTACGCCCTACATTCTTACTCCTCTCTTACCACATTTTTTGTAGGCAGTGTACTCACTATATTTCTTGCAGGTGCTCCTGTGCTCTCCAAAGACCAAGAGTGGAAGCTACAGACTGTGAAGTCTTACTCCACAAGGGACTTTGAAGCTCTCATACCTAGGGGTGGAGGAGTTATTGGTTCCTCTTCGGTAAATGCCAGTGGTCCCTCTCTAAGGTCTAGTGGTCCCTCCTTGAAAAGGAAAGATATATTGATTCTTCTGCATTTTTCTCTTCCACTTGGTGTTTTTATTTTTATCTTAGTGACACTTTATTTTCTTTGGAGCAGTAAATAGGGTGATGATTGGGTCCCGCCTTTCTAGTAGGAGTTCTCCTCCTTCTAAGGAGGCGAGGACAGAGGATGCCTCCCAGGTGGCCTCTCCAACTCACCATATTCCTTGCAGGTGCTCCTGTGCTCTTCAAAGTCCCTTGTAGAGTAAGACTTCACAGCCTGTAGCTTCCACTCTTGGTCTTTGGAGAGCACAAAAGCACCTGCAAGGAATATAGTGAGTACACACCCTACAAAAAATATGGTAAGAGAGGAATAAGAATATACGGCATACCAATTTTCTTTGGAGCATCCCATCGTCTTGGTACCAACGCCTTATTGGCATCTGAAGCCCCTGTCCACCGACGAATATGAAACGCAACTTCCAACTATGACATTTGGAGGGCAGTCCGGTAGCTAACTTGCCTCCTTTTGTGGTAAAATAATACCAGCCTCAGTTAGGAGCAAGAGTCTTACTCGGGTAACAAGCTGCATGAAATTCCTTAGGAGAGGCATCCTCATGGTACACCCTCTTCTATAATACTAAGAAACTCAACAACACTCTCTAACCGTTGGGTGCCAACCGCCCATGTGTCAAGAAAAAATAGTTCAGGATGCCACAAATGGGAGAAGGCATTGAAAGCCTGAACCCAACTTCAAGCACCTCCTCATAAATAGCAATGTCACCAGAGGAGTCATCACAAACAAACTCACCCATCTCGGCTTGACGACATAATACAGTCGGAAGAATATGATAAGTGGAGACAATTCGTAAAATATCAGCGTTTGAATTTAAAGTGCTGGAGATAGTACTTACTTTGGACTCATCATCATCGACAGCTACCTTGCCTTGATACTTTTTGACGCGAAGGCGAAAAGCTCTGTCCGAGCCAAAAAGGTCTCTAGGAGAATGATTTTAAGAAGCTACACTTGAAAAAACTCAAACAGGCTTCTCGCCCAAGCTGCACAGCGCAACAGGCTACTTGCCCAGATCTGTCTTCCTCACGTTCAGCAGCAAGTAGACAACCGCCTCAGCACCCAAATTGGCACTAAAATCAGTACTCTGCTCACCAAAAATAGCCTGCTCAGCGCCTAGAATTCCCACTGCGCGCACAACAGGCACGAGCCCAGCAGAGGAGTCCCACGGTGGCTCCACCTCCCTCAGGCCTTGCGCCTTTATCTCCCTCCAAGGACAACACCAACTCCTTCGAGTTCCTCACCAAGATTTGCAGAACTTCGAACATCCTCACCACTAGCTGTCACTGTTCAAAATGCTAAACTCGGAAATCTCACCAATGAGTTCTTGAAAGATCTCAAGAAAAGCGCTCCTCTTCTCTCAAGAATGAATGAAATGGGTGGAATGAAGAAGAAAGTTACTATTTATAACCTAGGGTTTCAAAATCTCCTTGAAAATACAAAAAACCCAAAAGCCCCAAATTGTAACTAGGGCTTTCTAAAAATCCAAAAAATGAAGGAGAAAGGGAGTTTATATAGCCAATGGGTCCCTACAAGCAAAAAGAATCTACTGGAAGGGATGGGGTTGTCAATTAAGAGAATTTTTCGAAAAATTCGGATTTTAAGAGGTGTGTACGCTATTTTGACTGTAACTTTTGACCCATAACTCCAAACGGGACCCATAATATGTGAAATTGAAGCTCTCGAAGAGCTCTACAAGAGTCAGCACTTTTGGCCGTGAATGATGCTGAAAAAAGCCCAAAAAAGACCTGAAAATATATGTTTTGGCCTCCCGAAATTTTTCTAATTTTGCTATTCGGTCAAAAATTCAAACTCTACTGAATGTCCTTCTTTCTATGTTCCTTAAATGCAGGGCATTAGGGGACAAATGATGGGCCAAGCCCAAGGGTCCAACTCATGTTATAAGTCTGATCCGAGTTTTAAGGCCCAACTCCAAGAGGTCCACCAAGTTCAGCCCAATGTGATTAGTCTAGTCAAACTCATCAAGCTCAAGGAGTTACGTCAACAAGGAGCATGCAATGTTATCTGGGAGTCTCCTCTACACCATCAAGGGAGCGTCCAGGAGTCTCACCCTCGCCGTTTGGAGAGCATCATAAACTTCCTTACCATTGAAAAGAGCATAGGTCGTCAAGCTATTTAATTACTATTAAAGTCACATCAATCCGTTATGACTATTAAACGGTCCTAACCCCGTTATAACCGTCCAACTAGCTATGCAATTACTACACTAAGCCACTATAAATTATAAGTCCCACCAATATTTGAGGGGCATCTCACTCATTTTGAGCATAATTCTCTCCTCCTCTCTCAAATCTTGTAATCCTGTGCTCTCCCTCCACACCGGAAATAATAAAATTTCGGCGATCCTTGCCATTTAAAATGGACGTAGATCATATTGACTGAACCACGATAAACATTATCTTTTCTCTCCTTCTACTTTACCGCATTTTATATTACTTAATTGACAGGTGGTGTGCAAACCAATTTTGTGCATCATTAGATATAAAAATAAAGCATATAAAATGTAACAAATACCTTTGGCAACCGAAGAAGGAGGTCAATATTTACATCAGGCTTTGCAATGCATTGTATAGAATAACTACCACCAATCTCAATAGATTTTGGCTTCTTGAACTGGAATTCGACTTTATCTGCACCAATGTCTCTAACAAAACCCGATGCCACATCCGCCAAAACCTACCAAATTTCACAACACCTCGAGTAAGCATAAGTTCAATGCGTTAACAGCAGGGGAGGAGCTATGTGTGAAGATGTGGGGGCAATTGACTTTCATGAATAGTCTGTAGGTGTATTGGTATAACAACAAAATTATGATTAACACATTATATTGCCTTGTGATGCATCTTTTTTGTGATTGGTAAGTTAGTGATCCACTCACACAATACTTTCCTTATTTAATACAATTTTGTTTTTTTTTTTTTCAAAATGGTTGTATAGTTATCGCAGACTCTATTTTGATAAGTTAGTGACTCATAATATAGCAACACAAAAATGAATACAAATGGTAATATATTCTAACTCAAAGGCGTCTATTTCCATTCAGAAAATAAATTTATCAACACAATTAACAAGAAATTGCTGAGAAATTTTATCATAAAACTGATCAATCAAATATCTTGATATTTGTAACGTTGTGTTCCACTCTAATATAGGGTTTAGTTGAAATATACTATGAAAGAATTATTGTCTACATTTGTTCATATATTGTTAATACTGAATTGATACTGAGCGTTAGGAGTTAATAAATTTCTCTTACTTTAACTTATAAATTTTTAAATGGAAATAACACCTATCCTCAACAATGGAGGTCCGAATTTTTTTTTAATACCTGTTAGTTAATTTCTTCATTCATATTTTTGCCCCCTCCAGGATAGAATGCTAGCTCCGCCCCTGTTTAACAATGGGTTTCCTATGGTCGCTGAGACAAAGTAAAAATAACAAAAATAATTGAAACACAATTTCCTGAAGACAAATTTAATGGTTGGAGCTCAGTTGATTCTATCTCTGCCCAATATTGATAAATTGAGCTTCAAAGTTATGATTCTTCATCCTATTGAACTTATTTAGCACTTCAAACAGAGGTTTAGGGATTGAGAAAGGAATATACCTGCAAGTTTTCGGGGATTTGATCAATGGCTTCTTTGATTGATGAAACAACGTCGTGGACGTACTTAGTAGTTTCGGGAGAGTAGTCAAGATGAACCTCCTTCAAGAGCTCTCTCACCTTCAAGTTCACCGGGTCCGTATACGTCTCCACCTCCGAAGCCATTACTTATTTGTGCTACTTTAGACGCCGTATGCACCGTTTTTGCAGAGAGAAGCAAAGGAGAGTTCACGCGGTCGGCTGATTTAGGGCTGCAAGAAAGACAAGAGAAAGGCGGGAGAAGAGGACTGAGGAGGGGCAACGACGAGAGAAGCTCGGCTAAACGTCCCCCAAAACAAAAACGCAATAATACCACTAACTGATAGTGGGCTTTCATTTTGTAAGTTATGGGCTTTTAACCCATTGCGATCGACCCACATAGCAACCCCAAAACTAGTGAAATATTGGGTGCGACGGTGACGCCAACTTGTCATGTGGTGTCACCGTCTAATAGGAGTATAATAATTAAACAAATGGATTTCGAAAACTATGTAACTCAAATTTGTAATTCAAATTTATATTTCAAATAAACGGAGATCATTTGATGAATGGGTCCCATCAATTTTTTTAAATTAGAACCACTGATTCAATAATTTTTATTAATTTAGAATACAAATTTGAGTTACATAGTATTATTCGTAAATTTCACGTATAATAACCACTCCTCCATGTCATTTGGTATCAACCCAATGTTTGAAAATAACTATTAAGTGGGATTTACCTTACATATTTGTAAGTTTATTATAAAATAATAACACCACATGACGGTGATTACATTTTGGGCTGGCTCAAAATTGGGAATCTAAGCGAAAATGTTAAATAGGGACCTCAATAATTTAATATAAATTTTGTTTTTAAGAAAATTTATTGCTTTTTGCCTCAAAATATAAATATTGATTACAATAGATTCACGTGATTTTTTATAACATTTTCACTTTTTATTTGTTTCACTTTTAAATTACTTGATTTTCATTATAATTGTATTTTGTACAATCGTCTCGTTATTTTGTGACTGTGTTAAATATGATAGATTGTTCAATTGCTAATAGCTTCAAGTTATTATCATATTTTTTATATTACTAGTAATAAATATATCAATGGCTCTCCATTTTGGATTAAATTAATCATTCATTTTTTATTTTTTGTGTTTTTCGTACTGTGATAGTGTTTTATGGTATTTTTGTCATCTTGTGATTGCAATATGATATTGGATAAAATATGTTCAAAATATGCATATATTTTCTTGTGTATGTTCAAAAAAATTTATGGGATTCATCTTAGATTTCAATCTGAATCAAAATTGAGAGTTTGGTTTTAATGGTTTCAAGTTCGTCCAATATTTATATAAATCTTGTTTTTGTAATGCATAACTAAATACAAAATATAATAGAATTTCAACCAAATTTAATGGATTGATCATTCAGTTTCATCACATGTATAATCTGATCTCAATTGGAACGAATATTTTTATATTCTGTTTGATTATTGTCAAATGGACTAGAGTAAGCCAGCATTGGGCCATAATCAGAGAGCTTCCTTTTACATCGAGATCAGTCGGATTAGCCCAAAGTTCTTGCTCAGACGGACAAAAGCCCACTTGAATTTTGCTGAGCTAGAGCCCCGATGGGTTTGGATATCAAAATAAACTTCAAATTAAGGATAAAGTTGATAATTGAGCTGAGTTGTTCGGATTTGGTTCGGAGAGAACTTGACTCAAGCTTGACTCGTGTTTAACATAAGTTAAGCTTGAGTAATTTTTTAGGCTCGGCTCATTTATAAATAAAATAGTCGAGCTACTCGGCTCTTTTTATAAATGAGCCGAGTTTGAATAATTTTTTAGTCTCATTTAAAAAAACGAACTTGACAGGCTCGACTCGATCTCTTAAAATTTGTCTTGATTAACAATCCTAATTAAGGATACCCATAAAAATGCCCTGCTCATATAAGACAAATGCTATTGCGACCTAATTTGGTAAGTTAATTCATTATGATATTTGGATTGATTGTTGACTCCATCAAATATTAGAACTTGATGTTAATCTAATGATTCTACTAAAATTGCATCACTAGGTCAACAAATTATGTCAAATTTTTAAGTTTAAAAACATTACTTGTCATGTATTGTTACCTCTATTTCTTGAACTTCACATTAGAGTAATGGTATCGGAACTTAATTTATTGATATAATTCACCATAACTCTTGGGTTGACTATGAAATTCGATCGAACATTAGAACTTGATGTTGATTCAATAGTGTCACTGAAGTCATATCATTAAATAAAATTTTTAGATCCAAATAATTTATTGTCACCTCTATTTCTTGTACGTTCATGTTAGAGCAATGATAATGAAACATAATTTATTGACCTAATTCACTGGAACCCTTGGATTAATTGTGGATCCCATCAAATATTAAAAACTTATCTTAGTTTAATGGTATCAATAAAACCTTAATCTTAGTTTAATGGTATCAATAAAACCACAGTAAATTTTGAAGTCTAAATGCCATTACTCTATCACATTATATACCAAACCAAAGCATTTGAGTTCAAACCTTAGTGAAACTAGAGAAAAAGAACAAAACTATCTGAATTTTCATTTTCTCCACTCCCCCAAGCGCATAAGATGATTTTTTTCACCAAAATTCTTGGTATTAATCATGTAACTTAGGATAAGGTACAACAAAAGAAATTAAAGCTTCAGGCTCAGGAAATCTGAATAGAAAAGAAAGCCCATTACGGCACGACATAATCAGAAAAAAAAAAAAGTTTATAGTTTGAAGGAGACCAACTGACCAACAGAAAAGTGATATATGATGATATATATAAGGACTGATCAAAGAGAAAAGTAAAAGAACAAAAGAAAAAGAAACTAACAACATAGAATTAACCCATTTTCACTCCATCTACGTAAGATGAACAAAAAGAAACAGCTTCAGCCTTCATGATCTTGATAGTCATATTTATCTTGTGAAGTCATGAACGAGGCTTGATCTGTCTGCGACGTTGAGACGCCAAGAGAGGTAGGGAATGCCATTATCAGAATCACGTTCATCGTCATCTATGAACCTAAATTCGTTGCCGTATGCAGGAGAGTAGCAAGGAAATTTCTGGTTCTGTGGGTGTTGAACCCATGAATTGTTTACCATGTGTTGGGCCTCCATTACTCCTGCCGATGCAGCACCGCCAGCGGTGGCGGCAGCGGCTGCGCTGGCTCTCCTCTCTTCCTTCTTGAATCGAATTCCACAAGCATTGCAAAGTGACTGCAATTGATCACACCCATTAGTCCCAAAAAACATTAAAAACCAAAAGATTAAAAAAAATAACAATAACAAAACACACAATACAAGTGTCTCTTCTGTATTTAGCCATAAGTGCGGTTTTTGTCGATGCAAATTTCGTAAGATATGTGCATTCCTACTTCGCATGCATAAAAGATAATTCTATGACTCGAACAGTACTCAAAATCAGTAAACTTACCCACCCTCTACGAATTTCTATATATAAGTGTATGGTAACAATAACATATTTAAAATCCAAGAAAAGGAACCTTTGGGCCTCTTGGACCGTTCCTCCAAAGGGGTGTAGATGTGGTGTCGCAGTTAGCGCACCGCCGAGCAAGGAGGGGGTCGGCGCCGGAGTTATTGTTGCCTCCATTGCTTCCACCACGGCTGGTCTTGTAGGTTGGTGGCGGTGAGGATGTGTTTTTGGACTGTAACATGTCCCAACAAAAGTTAGACATACAGGAAGAGCGTCGTTCATGGTGGACTTCCTTTTCCATATCATTGGTTAGACGAGTCGATGGTGTGCCTAGGGAAAGAGTGCAATCCACAGAAGATGAAGAAGAGGACGTGAAAGGGTACATGTCCGCTTCATCAAAAGGCTTGTGATTTGGCATAGAGAACAGCATTGAGAAGGGATTGCTTTGACTCTGAAACATGCCACATGAACATGGTCCCACCATGTTTCCATGAGAGCTGCTACACCTATGCATCATGGCTTCTCTCTCTATCCTCTCTTTCTCTGTCTCTCTCACACACACACGCTATGTGTAATTGTGTATATCTATATATATCTCTTTTCTGCTCCAATGGGTACCGTTCTTTCTTCTTCAAATTCGAAGCTAAGAAAGAGGAGATGATCAAATGGCTTCTGAGAATCTCAGGAAGGAGGAGGAAGGAGTGAAAAAGGGTTAGTGGTCTTAGGGCAATGAGAAGTGGAGGTCCGAACTCGAAGTGATGAGTATATAGTCGAAGAGAGATAGGAGAGAGAGGTACGAACAAATAGTAAGTTGAGAGCGATGGGTAATAATATAATGTTTGAATTGAACTTAGAGCTGAGAGAGTACGCGAGGGGCTGAGATCTGTGTTTGTCTGTTTGCTTTATAAGCTAATAAAATGGCGAAATACCAGTCAGCACCTGCAGTCCACGTTGTCGTCAAACACAAACATATTCTATATACATTCACGTATATAGTAAGAAGGTTGTAAAGACTGTGACAGAGATGGACCCAAAATACAGGTTATATATAGAGAGAGAGAGAGATACGGGCAACAAGTCAGTATACTGGTAGGACACGAGGTGGTGTTAAATGTTCGATTGCCAAGTATATATAGTACTGCAGCTTATTCGAGTGTGATGTCTAAGTACTAGAATGCTATTAAACTCCATTTAATTCCTATTAAATACATTTATAGTTATATATATATAGATAGATATATATATCATCTTACTTGTATGACATATAAACCCTATTTAGTTGATTCTGTGTAATATTTAGTTTAATTTATAACAATTCAGTTTTTAAATCGGTTTGGCAGATTGAACTATTTACCATTCAAATTTTTATTAATTTTTAATCCAAATATATCGATTTCTATAAACTCTTTATCATACTTTTATGTTTTTTTTTCCCGTGAAAGATATAAAAATTTTCAATGTATCTCTAAATGATTTTTTTTTTCAAATTATCCCTTAAAAAAACAATATTGTAATGTGATCCACTATTTTGTTTTCGTTTAGTTGTCCGTCTATTTTGTATAACATTAATCAATCAAAAATTACAAAAGAGATATAATTAAACAAAAATAAGACGGTGAATTATATTGTAATGTTTTTATTTTTTTAAAAGGCAATGTAAAAAAATTAATTATTTGGGAATAAATTGAAATTTTTTATATTTTTTAGGGTCAAAATGAAAATAGGTTTTAACCTAAATCTTAATACATACAACAATGTATTAAATTTTCAAATAAAATCACGGTATTAATATGTTATATACGATTACACGAGCGGTGGAGAGGGAGGGGGTGAGTTTGATTGGGGTTTTGGTCATTGGGGGTGGTCAAAAGAACCCACGTGACTAGCGGGAACAGTCTTCCATGGATCTGCCTTCTCCGATCACGAGGCAAAAACTAGTACTACTGACTCTCCCTCAAACCCAATACCACCATCCATCAAAAACCTCTGTCCGTATCCGTATCTCTGCCCCCTCTCTGCTCTGACACTGCCTCCCTCCCATCGAAAATGGAATTCAATTGCTCTCACCACGCCTACTCTCCATCTCGTCACACACAACAATCTCTCAGCAATTCTTTTATTTTTATTTTATTTAAAATTATTTATAATCACACGTAAATTATAAGTATCATAATTCAAGAGATAATAGTAAAATTTGAACTCTTAACGTCCAAATCGATAATTCGTTCAACTCTAACCCACATCGTTAGACTTCTTGTGCAACTCTCTCTCAATAACTCACTCACCGTGTAAATACTTAGTTCAATGAGAATTTGAAATAAGAAACTTGAAACAATTGTTAACTAAATTTTCACCATATTATACAATAAAATAATTAGTACTCCAAACTTTGTAGTTGAAGAGATTCGAAAACACACTGTCTCAATTATACAATTAATAAGCCATGACAGACAGCGACGAAGGTTGTGGTCTGATGTTATGGCTATTCATTGCTTGTAAAATTATACTTTCTTCCATTAACTTTCATACCAATTTTAAGAAATTACTAAAGCATGATAAGCAAACCTAATGGCGAAATCGTATATGTTGAGACTTAAGGTCACAGTCCCTGGTGTTTTTAAGATTATATTTTCATTGATTAATTTTATTAAAAAAAATTTAAGAAGTTACCACACTTATCCCCTAAAATTTCAGTATTTTCACTTTGATCCTCTTCAATTTTGAAATTTCCCCCCCATGAGAATATAATATTCAATGTTAAGGTCATATTATGACATTATTACCATATGGTGTCACCATCTAAAATACTAAATTAACATGTAAATAGGGGGTGTTAATCGATATAAGTTACTTGAGCTCGACTTGGTTAAGACTCGGCCCCGAACCGGACTCATATTATAAATGAATTGAGTGTGAGAAACTTTTTAGGCTCATTTTAAAAAAAAAAATCTTAAAGGCACGATTTAAGTTTGCAAAACTTGACATATTTATATGTAAAATAATCGAGCTATTCGAGTTTAGCCGAGACTTGGAATCTGCTTAAGGTTTAAATAAGTCAAACTTAAATAATTTTTTAAGTTCTTTTAGAAAAATGAGTTCAATAAATTCGGACTCAAACTTACAAAGTTTAACTTGATTAACACCTTTGCGTATAAACAAGTGGACTTCATGATTTAGTAACTACCATAATCATAGAAGAAAATAATTATTCAATGCCAAAAAAAATAGAGTTTATTTTACTTATTTATAAGTTTAATTGGATGATAATGCCATGTGATAAGAATGCAGATGACCACTTGAGCCAGGGGTGTGAATATCACGCGGGTAATGGCAGGTGAGAGTGAGATAATATTCTGAGTTTGGTTATTCAACAGAACAATGACCAATCCTAACACTTCTACCCCTCCGTTAGGCCATCCTATCCATCCATCCATCCATCTATCTATCAACGCATATTATCAGTGTTATCTCACACCCAAAACAACCAGTTTCAGCTTACTACAATCAGTGGCCGTACCGTGAAATCACGTGAACCAAACAATGCCAATCTGCTTGCCCGGTCATCTCGCCATGATAGCGTTTGTTTTTTTTAATTTTTTGTGTCGTCTTTGATATTTGCCTAATTTATATTTAATTTATTTATAATTGCATAAAATTTAATCGGTGGTAATTCAGATTTATGTCATTTAAAAATTTTGTTTAGTGTGTTCCTATCATTTGTTTGATTTTTTGTGTTAATTGAGGTTTTGAATTTTTTAATTGTATCAATTAAGTTATTTTGTCTGTCTCCGTTAGAGTGTGTCACTCACGTGACTATATGCCACAAAAAAATAAATACTCAATCGACACAATTAAAAAGTTTATTGACTTAATTTACGTAAAAAAATTCAAGAGTTTAACTGACACAAAGATCATAATTTGAAGTTTTATGTATAATTTATTCCAAAATCATCTAAATTCGTTGAATACCCTAAATTCAAATTTATTAATTCTATGTTAATTTTATTTTAAGGTCGTAAAATCATAAGGACCATATCACACACAAAGACTTGTGTATTTTTTTTTTTTGGGTAAGTCACACAAGAGCTTTGTTTGGTCTACAAGTAGTAGCAGTAGTAGTAATAGTCCCAACTAGTAGTAGAAGATCCTTAGATTTTGGTGATGATGGAGAGAGAGAAAGAGAAAGAAAAGTGAAAGAGATAAAGGTATCATCCAAATGGGATTCTCTGCAATCATCAAAGCAACGTATGTTCTTCTGGGTTTAGAGCAATCTTTGACTCAAAGATGGAAAACTTGGAAAAAGAACAGAAAATTCAAAAAATAACAAATAGAGAATACAAAGCAGCAGCAGCAGAGTGACCCCACCCCCCCCATGATGACCCAAGCCCGAACAAATTTCTCTGGAATATCGATCGATTCGATCAAAAGATTCAAACAGCAAGTGAGAGAGAATCAGATCGTCTAGAGATTGGCGAGCCTGTAGTTCGACAAACGGGACGACCACCGCTTTCCAAAAGATGCTCTCTATTCGCTTTGTAAACTACGAACAGGACTGTGATGTGATTAAACCAAGGCAATTGAGCGTCGCATTGCAAACTACACATGCATTACTCTCTCATCAAACGTGAGACACACATTCTTCTCTCCAAATGGATTCAAATCCCCATAAGTTTAAATATTATTAAATATTCCTGAATTTTTGAATCAACCAAGATATGGGTTTTTCTTTAATTAAAAATAACAGAAAATAATAATAAATTGACCATTTAAATTTTGAAGGGACATATTATATAATTTTCTCTATTTTATTATATATCCAAGGAATCATTTCAACTACTTACTCTTTTGCACTTACGGTTTCATAAGTTGCAAAACATACCAATTTAAGCTCACAATCAAGAACCTAAAACTTCTTCCATTATGCACATAGCTCACTATTATGTTCCATAATACATATAATTCTTTCATGAAAAGATTGAAGTTTTAAATGTGGTTAAATTATAATGACACATTCGATATTTGATTTTATTTGAAGTAATTTATAATATTTTAGAATAACTGAGCGATTTTCTTGTACTTTAAAGCTTTAGCATTTCCTTCCAACGCACTGGCGGAGGTACATAGGGTCGTGCACACCTTTAATTTTTTTTAAAAAAATTATATGTATGTTTATATTTATATATATCTAAGAATTATACAAATATTATTTACTTGTGTCCACTCTGTAACTTTTTTACTTCAATTGTTTAGTCGTTTTTATTGTATTAAGGTTTTCTACATGTGATCTTGATATTCATATTCATATTCGTTAATTTTTAATTTTATTTTGTTAATTTAAAAATGAAAATACTTACAATTGACATTCAATTTACTTTTATTTTTTTTTGCGAGAACTAGTCTCTATTTTTGTTTGAAAATTAATTGTAATATCTATTATGTGTCAATTGAATTTAAAAATTTGTATTATGTTCTGTTCTTAAATTTTAGTTTAGTGACTTTATTATTCTAAATTTCTAATATCTCAGTTTTAATGTTTGGAAAAAACTTTATCGAATAAATATAATAGATGATCAGTAGACAACAGGTAACTTTTTAATTACACAATAGCAATTAATCTCACATTTTCAATAGTGATACTTTCATTTTTATATACATACACTATACATTTTTTTTTTGGTCATTTTATATTGAACAGGCTTAATGTATCAAATATGATATGATAAATGCAAGTGTATCATTTTA